TGTTTCTTAATGCTATGACCTGCAGTGAGACTGGCCAAAGGAAAGGAAGAGGGGGGAAATAAGCTGAAAATCTATCAGAAACACCAGAAGGAAGTGGGGCTGTTTATGGGGCCCAAGGGGAGGTGATTCAGTGTGGTGATTTTATGTTTATGGGTAGATGGTTTGGAATGTGGCAGGACACACCACAGCTTTCAGTGTAGCCCTTTGCTCTCAGGGTGAGAGCTCTCAGCTCACCTGCAGTGAGACAAGCATGAAACAGAGGGGTTGTAATGTGGATCTTCCTTTTTGTTCTTACCGATACTCCAGAGCTCTTCTGAGCTCTGTGCAAGTCGAAACAACATTAAGTTTCCCCAGCTTATTCTCTCTATTCCTTTAATTCCCTTTGCGCTAAGGGAAGCAAAACCTTTGATGCATTGATAAGACTTTGCTTCCCACTGCCTGACATTCAAATCCCCCTCACTGCCAATGCAGGGGCTCTGTCTGGGGAAGGGCCCTGCCTTCAATTGCACAGCAGTTGGGAGACCCCCTGCCCTTCTGATCTTCTTAAGGGTCTGTTTTTGAAGAGCTCCTCATAGCAACTGTGGCATAAAAGCACTTGAGTGTGACTAAGTGTTGGCCTTGATGGATTTCCTGGGTCTAATCCCCTGCACATTATCCCAGCGTTGGCTTTACGAGAAGAATGATGAATTTTAATAGCAAATCAGAGACTTTCTGGTGTTCATGTTCGCCCTTTAAGGGGGGCACCAGACAGAGCTAGAAGCTGTGAGGTCTGAAATGGGCTGTGGCCACTTCTCTGCCTCTTAGACAGGGTGGAGTTGAGTGCTGTCTTGAGCTGAATCTGAGATCTCAGCCTGGTGATCCTGATCCCTCCCAGTGGGTTTGAAATGGGACACCTCTGGCAACCCTGTCTTTAATAACAGACATAGAAACGCAGATGAGGTGGTGTGTCAGATCTTTGGGAGTTTTCCATGTTACCTTTCACTGCTGGGAGACCCATCATTCTCCCAGGACTCCATTGGAAGTAACTTAATAATCTTATCCCTGGAACAGGACTGACTTGCCTGTGGGGCTAATTTCCTTGTAGTCTGCTCCCCCAGTGCTGATCTACACGAGTGCTTTATATTAAATGTGCAATTTGTGATATTTCATAGTTGAGAAACGCTTGCCAGGTGTTATTGGTTTGGATTTTGGCATGTAATGAGCAGGGTAGCAAGCACTAATAGATGGTCTCTCTGACCATTTTCAGCAGTCACCTTGCCTTCTTCTTGCTGACACAGTTCTTATGGTAATTAATGAGCTGGCACATTCCTAGGAGCCTTGTCAATGAATTAATCTCTGCACAGAGGGAACAGCTGAACACAGGTTTCCTCCTGTTGTCTCTGGCAAACAGGGGAGGTGGAGAACCTGCAGGCAGGTGGAGAGGGGGCTGTGCAAGTCTTGCTTTAACAGGGGCTGGAATTATGCATCTTGCATATTTTGCATCTTGCATATATTTCTGTGCATCTGGTTTAATCCTCCTGAGCCCTCGTGTGTCTGATTAGAGTGTCCAAGGTGGTTATTTCTCCTGGCAAGGGAGTGCAGCTCATAATTAACTCGATGCTATAGGAGCAGAGGAGAGGCTCAGCTCTGTTGGTTGTGTGAAGGTGTCTGTGTGGAATCATTTTGTCCAAGCAAGCAAAGAATGGGGAGATATAGAAGGATGATCAACACAAGCTGCCTCTTCTTTATAAATTGTGTTTCAAGATTGATCAAACTCCAGGACTGAGACTGGAATGAAACAAGGAGGGACAACAGTCCCTTTCTGAGGGGCTCCAGACACAGCCTGTGTCCCACTGGAGGAAGTGTCCATAAAGGCAGTGAAGGAACATTCCTTTCCCTTCCCCAGCACAAGAGGTTGTAGGGACCCCCATGCCTTGCACTGACATTCTTCTCCTGTGAATCTCACTACTCTGAGAGGCTGAGTGAATTTCTGAGAGCCTCTCCAGGCAGCTCCTGACCAGCTGTCCCCAAGGTCCACCTGCCACAGCTGACCTGCTGCTTCCCTTCTGCAATGCTTTATTAGACACTGGGCAGGAATTATCTCCTTCAGGAATTATCACTAAAGGTTGGGGAAAGAGGGATGGGTGGTAGTTGTTGCTAGTGTGAATAAGGCAGAAAACATGAATGTAAAGAACTTGTGGCTAAAACCACTGAGCTCTGCCTTGAGACTTCACTGAGGTCTGAACTGCCATTGCCATCCTTGAGCCCTCTCCTGGTAATTGGATCAGTGGATCATTACACATCCTGTTAAATGTTCAGGAGTCATTCCTAAAAAGCAGGACAATCTCCCCTCCTCTGGTGTGACGCTCCTAAAGGAGAAGGTTTGGCACTTTTGCAGTATAGGACTCTATAGTGTGGGTCAGGGCAAGCCCAAGATTTGCTTTGCTGAAATGTCCAGCACAGGGCCTTTGGTTGTGAATCACCTGGGCAAAAGGATGTTTAACTTTTGGGTTTGGGACTGTTCCTTGGTTTAGACAGTGTTGGGATAATAACCCAGCTGCACAGCCAGTGTTGTGTTAGAAGTCCCAGGGCTGCTGGTATTAATCCCAGCACTGATCTAAAGTAACTCATGGCTCTGTTAGGAAAGAAAATTGTATGTTTGCTTGAGGGACAAGGTGATCCATGAGAACTAAGAAATGAATGTTTCCTTAGGGTGTTTAGGAGTGAGAGAGAATTTATCATCTGCTTCAGTACTTGCTTGCTTTTCTCCCTCTGGTTGCTAGCCCTAACCAGCCATGGGGAAACTCTTAAGGTTATGGCATATCTCTGTTTATTTCATTGTCCAGGAGATTGTAAAATGGCCTGAACTAAGGTGAAGTCCATCCACAGGTAATGAGGAGATTGACTTAAGTAAAGAAAGGAGAGAAACTGGCTACAATTCTGCAGTGAAGCCGCTGACCAAGCTCTTGGAGACAAGCTGGGTTGTTGCTTTCCTGTGGGACACTGGCTCTCCCCTGGACTGTGCATGTTTTGTTTTCATTGTCACCAAAGACATATCAGTGATGAAAGCAAAAGAAAAGTAACATGACTGGTTTTCATAAAAATGTATTTTCCATTTTGGTCCAAAAGGGAATCACCCAGGCCTCTACTTTTCTAAAATCATCCAGGTGCATCAGAGCGTTTCCAAAGCAATTTGTCATCATTTCAGGGGCTGACTGCCTGTAGGAACAGGGAGAGCAGTGATTGGGTGCTACTCCCTGGATGTACAGATCTGTTTGATCCATCCCAAACCCACAGCTTCTAAAGGACTTTGACAGTGTTTCCTCAGCTCCAGTGGATTGCACTGAGCTGGATTCTGCACTGCTATTCCAGCTGTACTTCTATCAGTGTAGAATTACACTAAAATGTCAGCTGGAAGAACACAGGAATGCTGCACTCACACCTGGGGACATTTTGGTGGTCAGTGATGCAGCTAACACCACATGTCCAGTCCAGCATGGATACAGGGCCTGTCTTGCTCTGTTGAACTGCTAAACTGTTTTTTTTGGTTCATGTAAATGGCTCTGAAACTGCAGTGACAAACAGAGCAGAAACTCCTGCAGAGAGCTGAAATATTTACCTACCACTGCCTTCATACTGCAGGATCCCTGGAGGTTTATGGTAAATTGCTCTCGTTTGTGACCCCTAAGAAAGAGGTAGATACATCCGAATTTAATGGCTGGATGAAGTTCCTTTAAAGTGTTCACACACATGTCCTTTAATGCTTCTCACGTTGTGGGAGGCTGTGGAACATCCCTGGAAGTGCTCAGGGGCTTTGAACAGCCTGGTCTAGAGGAAAGTTCCCCTGGCAGGGGGGAAAATGAGATGACCTTCAAGGTCCCTTCCAACCCAAACCATTCTATGAATCTGTGATTCCCTCGCAGAGTATTCACAGCTCAGGGTGTTCTCAGCTGATCTCAGGGTGTTTGTCAGCTAATTTCGGTGGTGACACCATTCAATGGCAAGAGAGAGGCTCCCTCTGTGGTGTTTCCAGAGCAAAACTGAGCTGAGAGGTGATTCACAACTTTCAGGTAAAACTTCCCACGAGGATCTTCTCTGTTGCTGTGAATTAACAAACCAAGATCCATCTTGGTTAGGTGGAAGGGAGAGGATGGAATCTTGCCAAGAAGATGGCAGGTGAACCAATAAAATAAAAAATGTTCTGGCAGTCCTTATGTTAGAAATCACATTGTCTGGCACTTATAATAAATATCATTTTTAATTTACAGCAGACTTCAGTGGCTTCAGTTTTGTCACACAGAACAGAGTTCCAGGGGTTATTTTTGGTTAAACACTTAAAAGTGTTTTCTTTCTAAGTCTTCTAACAACTTCTGTTTTAATTGTGCAGATTGTCCCAAAGTGCGTGCTCAAATGTCAGGTTAGACATAAAAGTGCCAAATATAAATTTATATTCTTGACCATATCTGTGTTGTATTATCTTATTCATCCTTCTGATTTTTCTTCAATGGGCATTATATTTGTAGCCTTTTTCCATGGAGAAAAAAAAAAATCTCAATTATCCGTAAAATCCTTTTTGAAATTTTGTTCATTTTTTACCATTTCCTCTTGGGTTTGTGGCATGGATCTGATCACAGCACTCACCAAGGAAATTACTTGTGGTTTCCCTAGAGCACAGAACATTGGCACGTTCTGTTTCCCAATAATTTGACTCTGAAGCAGAAGTTTGACACATCTGCTCAAAACATCTGTGGTGTTTAGAGAGTTTGATCATGCTGAGTGGATCAAAATGACCTTTGTTTTCTCAGCTTTTCTTTCTCTCACCAAATGTTACAGTGAGTTTAGATCCTTTCAGGCAGACTACCCCAACCTTGCCACTGTCTACAGCAAACATCATCTGAAGCTGTGCTGACCCCCTCTCTCATATTTGGCAGTCTTATTGAAATGTTGTCTTCACAAATCCTGTTACATTTTCTATTTCCCTGTTTGTTTTTTCATCTCGTTATTCATTGCTTTCCATCCAGAAGCTGAAAGGTGTCTCCACACCTTGGGCCTCTTTTCTCCTCCCATGGAGGCCACCAGAGGAGATCCAGGCAATCCCCAGTGTGGCTCTTTGCCTCCCTCAAGTGACTGGCACCAACACCAACCTCTGTGCAGCTGCAGCACCTTCCTGCGACTCAGGTGAGCCCTTCGCCTCGAGGAAGCTTGTCTCTATTATTCCTCTCATTTCTTTAGAAAAATAGATATGAAGATTTTTGGATAGAGGTGTTTTTCTTTGCCTGGGCACATCAGGATGAGAATATGACATTGCTGCTTGAGATGGCAGCTCCAGACCCAGCCTTTTCCAAGACATCTTTGCTAGCCCATCTGACTTTCTAACAGTCTGAAAAATTCCACATTTAACTTTGCACCCAGGTGTCTCAACAGCTGAGGTGAGACCAGACATTGCTGAACAGGGCTTGGGGGAAGTGAAGGTGCTGGGCTACTTCCAGCCCACCTGCTGATGACCCACTGGGTCATCTCTCTTGGCAGTTTCTGCCCAGAGCTCATTACACTGGTTGTTGCTAAAGCTGTGCTGAGCAGATCAGAGCCAAGGTTGCTTCAAGAGAGCTCAACTCAAGCTCAGGATGTTGCAGAATTGTCCTTTATTTCTTTAGTCATACATACCTGTCTGTTTTCACTGTGTCCTTTAGCTATCCGTATCCTTTTTCCAAAGTCACCAGACAGCTCCAGTCAGGGCAGTGGCATGTGAACAAGCAATATGAGGGACACTTGAAGAGACAATTCCCACCTGGCTGCCTCCCTCCTCAGCAGCAATGATTAGCCCAGCTCTGAATGACAGAGTGCAATAAAACTGAGACAGTTCTGCCCTTGGTGCATAATAAGTGAAAGACAAGTGGAAAATATCTCTGAAAAGTTTCCTCCACTAAGAGTAGGTGAGTGAGCACAGCCCTTTTCTGTCTGCCTTTCTCTTCACTCAGCAGCAGCCTGGAGCTGAGACTTCAGTGTCATTGCCCTTCTCTTTCCTACCTTCTTTTGCAGCTCCCATAGATAAAAAAATAATGTGGCTTTTCTGGAGCCCTAACCCCATTCTGTCACTGCTGTGCACTCCTGTGAGTGTGCATTATCTGACCATAAAGCTGCTGTGCAGTCAGCATGGAAATGGTATTGGCAAAGCTGTAATGGAGGCAGGAATTTATGTCTGTAGCCAGGTGGAGTTCTGAGGGATTGTACCTGAGCTAATAATACTTTGCTGTGAGCCACTGAGTTCAGCTATATCATTTGGGGCAGGAAAATCTATTGGTGCTATTCAAGTGTGGCTACCACAGTAATATAATTTTTCTTTGAAAAAAGCAGTGTTTACTTTTAATTGGAATCAATGCCAGTCACTTGTCTCACACTTAAAAAGAGTTAATGAGAGGGAAGTATAAAGAGAGGAAAACAGTTGAAAATTAAAAATATTTTGTTATGAATAATTATTAAATATCCCTAGTTTTAAGTCATAATTACCTGGAATTAGGCCAAGTGTAGCTAAGTCAAGGAGCCAGTTTGTTACTGGGTGATTTTGGAGCACATCACCTCTTGGGCCAGAGAGGCAGGAGAACATGGACCCCACCAGGCAGCCCTTCCTTCCTCCATCCTCACTTCCCAGAGCTTGGGAAGAGCCCTGCTTGCTCACAGTGGCCCCTGTGAGCTGGCACAGCCTGAACACCACACAAATCTCCTCCCTGGAGATGTGGCTGCAGAGCTGTTGAGGGTGGTGCTGAGAAGTCACAGATTGTTTTCGACTCCAATTTTCCATTCCTACCTTGTCGCAATAGGACATGAAATAAAACAAGGTAGACACTGGACTCTAAGGTAAGAAGAAGAAAAAAAAGGGAAGTTTATTTCCTGACTCCAATATTTATAGGCTTACAAAAGTGACAGTGGATTGGAGGATGAAAGTGCCACCTCTCTAATGACACTGGACAAGACAACAGGCCATCAAATTTCTCCTCTTCCAGAGAAGAATGTAAAACAATAATTATTTACATAAAAGTGGGTTAGAAACTTTATTACAAGAATGTAAACCTCAGAAGGCTTAGAAGAACTTCGTAAAACAGGGCAACACTACCCTGTCTGCTGTTCCTCAAGGAGTGGGTGCATCCCTCAACAGAGAACTGGCCATGGCACAGCTGGACACAATACATGTCCTGGCACAGCCTTGGGATCAGGCTTGGGAAATCTTAACCTTGGAATTCAGAGTGAAGAGCCACTTAAAAATTAGTTAAATGCATCTTTTCCCATCTCTTGCCACCTTCCCCACCCCATTCAGAGCTGCACTGCTACAAAGCTGGTGCCCCCTTCATGTCTCCAGCATCTTCATGTAAACAGATTTGTTGTCCCTCTTAGCTAAGGCATTCCAAGGTATCTGTCAGCTGCTAAAGGCATCATTTTCTGTTTATCTTCTCCTAAGCTGCTGCTCCAGCGGAGCTGCAAAATTAACATTGTGCTCAGCAAAACGGTCTGTGTAAAACAAGGGCAATTTATACAGAAATAGCCATAATCCTTCACATTAAAATCTGGCTGTTAAAATTCTGGCACCTCTCAGAGGTCACTCTAACCTAGTTAAGTTCTGTTAAGAAAAGCTGTTATTATGGCTCACAGCTTTTTTTTTCTCCCCTACAAGATTGTCTCCTTTGGCTTGTGCTCTTCAGCACTCACCTCTACCTCCCCTGCCCTGCTCCTGCCTCTCCTGGTTCAAATTGCTTTCTGTCATACATTATTAAAGACTAAACTTAACTACCTAGACACTGTGAAAAGTGCTCAATAGAGGGGTTAAAGTCCCTGCAGTATTTCCTTGTTTCTTCTTTTCCCTGGTTGGAATTTTGACCACAAGTGAAGCACATTGAGGGAGGTTCCTTGTAAAAAGGTGCTGGGCTGGAACAGAACAGATGTGAGTTCAGCTCCCTGCTGTGACAGGGATTTCCTGTCTGTCCTTGGATATATCATTTAATTTGTCTCTCTCACTCTGTCTCGTTCCCCACCTTGCTGCTTTGCAATGATAATATTTGTTTTCACCATCCAGCATATCTCAGTGTGTTTCTTCTCGTGGTGCAAAATCTGTATTAGCCAATGTGTACACAGGACTGTGGAGAGTAGGATTTCAGTCTCTAGACCTCAAATTTCATAATACCACACAAATAAATACATTAAATAAATTCCTCTCCTTCCAGCTTGTTCACCATGACTATATGATGTTTGAAACAGAATGATGTTAAGGTTAAACTTGATCTCTCTTGCCTGAAGCTTTTAATGAAGTAAAAAGGAAAAGATTTCATTCCAATATTAGTGAGACAACTCTATGACCTTAAATAGAGTCCTGCTGAATTTCTCTGGGGGAAAAGTACACAACTGTATAAATCACAGAATCATAAAATAAACTGGGTGGGATGGGACCCACAAGGGCCATTGGAGTTCAGCTCCTGGCCCTGCACAGGACACCTGCAGGACTCACACCATATTTAGAGCCACTGACTTCTGATGCTGCTTTGTGCAATATTCCCCTTCATCTGCTGGATGGTGAAGCCTGGATCACCAGGGCACAGGGCTCATGAGCACTTCAGGGTGCATGGCAGGTCCTGGCTTTTATAGGGCACATTTCAAGGAGAAGCTTGCAGAAAAAGAATGGCACTTGGCACATCAAGACAGAGGAGAATTCCCTAGCAGTCATCTGAAGAAAATCTCACTTGCAAAATGAGTGGATGTTTCTGGAACCATGAAAAGAGCACAGGTTGGATTTGAGGTTGCAATTGCAAAGTAGGAAGATGCTTGTGCCAGTGTAAGTGGGCAAAACAAGGGTGGCACAGAGAGACTGGGCAGAGAAACCTTGGGCAGTTCTTCCTAGGGACCTCCTGTTTTCTGGCAGGGAGATAAAACAAACCTTGCTTCCTCTTGCATGAAGTTGCAAGAAGTTTATTCTCAAAATGTGCTTGAAACAACCATGGTAGAGTCCACATTCCTCATCATACAGATAAAAGTGACTAAATTTGGGCTACTGACAACAGCACCTGGGCTGAAAGTGAATCTCGTTCTCTGTGCAGAAAGAAAGGTAATCACATTCAGAGGGCCCCAGAGAGCTCCTATCTCTGACATTGATATGGAGAAACAGACTGGAAAAGATCATCCTGACAAACAAAACTATATTTATATTGCAGTCATCACAGGGACACAGGCGCTGGACCCTGGGAAAGTTGCTTTTCTCTTTCAGGGCCGTTATCTGATACTGGCAGGACCATTCCCTCGTGTGATCAGTTATGAAGCTACTCCAGGGTATAAGAACCTCTATACTGCAACGTTTGAGCTGGCAGAGGAGCACATTTCAGTGGCTCCACCATGCAGGTAGTTTTGGGGGTATCAGTGAAACTAATTACTGAAAGTTAGTCCAAGATTTAAACATCATGCAAAATGAAGTGGCAGAGGTTCACTCATCACCTTGGTGTGATAACTCACACTGTGGGTTATCCTGGGCAGCCATCTGGCTTGTTGAGAGGTTTATGAGGACTCTGCAATTTCACTGCAGGAGATTTTGCTCTAGTTCTTTTTGACCACATCCTTGGGATTTTGCATGGGCTGGGGTCTCTTTAGTGGCTTTATAGGATCAGAGAAAAACAAAAAAAACCAGGTGAGAAGGTATTTTAAGAGTTTTCTTCATCCATTTTTCTCCCCCTCTAGCAAGGACCAGCTATCTATCTTTATAATTTCTGATGGATGTTTGTTCTTTAAAAGCCTCCAACAGTGAGACTGCCCCGCCTCAGGCAATCTATTCCATCCCCTGTTTCCCTCACCATTAGGAAGCTTTTCCTGAAGTCTAACCCTCATAGCTCTTGCTGTCACTTAAGCCCATTATTTCTTGTGCTTGCCACCTGGTTGTGGCAAACAGATTATTTCCTTCCTCTTTCCAACAACCCTTAAACAATTGATGGCTCTCATGCTGTCTCCAGTGTTTTTCTCATGTTCTCCAGTGCTTTTCTCTCCTCTGCCTGAACCAGCAGCTCCCTCGTTGCCCCACATAGATCATGGTATTTGATAGTTCTCATTTCTCTCCTCTGGAATGTCTGCAATCCTTTTTTTTTTGTTTTTTTTTTTTTGGTTGAGGTCCAGTGCCCCCAGTGGGATAAAACTGAGGTTTTATTGATACAAGCTGAGGGAAATAAATCAGCTACCTTTGCTTATAGCTCATGACAAATTCCCATCACCACCTTACACTTGTAGAAAGAGAATTTAAACTAAGACAGAAATTGGTGGCAGATAATTTTCTTCTTGTGGCAATTTATCTGTTGTCTTTCAGAAGATGCTATTAAAACTATTAAGCTTTATCACAACTCTGGTTCTTTCTCCAAATCACTAAATCTCCAGGACAGCTGGTACTGCTGAGCTGACCACAGCCCATCATCCCTGCTGTAAGTGTTGAAATTTGGGTGGGTGCTGGCAGCTGTTCCAAGGAATTAGGGTGTCACTGGAATTACCCAGTCCCACAGACCCTGACTTTGACATTAGAGTGTTTGTGGGTGGAACTGTGGTATTTTTGTCCCAACAAAGCAACAAGGTGGCTGATATTGGACATGGGCTTCCAAATGAGCAAATGGGGTGTCTAATTGTCACTTTTTTCACCTTTTCCTATTGTAACTTTGTTTTGGAGATTTTTTCTTGTGCTTGGAAGGAAAGCCAGGCCAGCAGAATTAGCTCTGTACTGATACAGCACAGGGACATCTTCTCCCCATTACTGGTACCACACTTGCCCAAACACAGAGGAAATGAAATAACACAGGTCAGTGTGATTCCACTTCCTGAAGGACACCTCTGTTGGATCCCACTCTGATACTGACACAGAAGTGACAATGAGGCACCCACAGAAAGTGTGAGGAAGAGCAGTGCAAATTTGGGTCCTGAGAGTATTCCTGATGGCACAGGATCTTATTTCACACTGTCTTCTTGGCTCTGGTGAGCACTTGAAATAGAAGATTTTGTTGTGAAGGGAGGGAATGGTGGATATGAAAAAACAAGGACGAAGAAAAAACATCTTTCCTCCGAGGAAGTTCCTAACTGTGGCTTTTGGCTTCAAAGGAAGGTTTGTAAGGAACAGCTGATGTTGAGAGGAGATGGAGAGCTTTGAAAAGTTTTGATGTGTTTTGGGTTAAACCTTCCTTGCTTCTTCCACTGAGGTCATGTAAAGGCCCTTCCCCATGTTTGTGTCACTCCCTGGGTTGGAACCTCAAAGGCTTAGAGAGGATCAAAGAGCCTGTAGTGAAAACAGGTTGATTTTCCACAGCTTTTGAGTTTGGTTTGAGTTCTTCTACTAAAACATAAAAATTCACAAAGGACCATTACTCTCAAAGAAGGGAAACAGACTGGGTTTTTTTTCAATGTGTGGACTTTGCAGCTGACTCCAGCAGGTGACATTTTCCAGCTCTGAAAGTCTTCAATAAAATCCAGATTTGGTGCATTGAGATCAAGGTCTCTCCTCCCATGCTGTAATTTTTGGATGTAAGGGCTGCCTAATTGCAGTGTGAGAATCCTTTTAAAAAGGCACCTCCTGACAGGGCTGCTCTTTAAAATAGGCCATTAGTCTTGTGACAATGCATCAGGGAATTAAGTGAGTTTGTTAGTGAGGCAAACCTCACATTGCCTAGCTCAGGCTCTTCCCCTGTGAAATGGAAATTGGTCCAAAGAAAGGAGGCACCATGGGATGCACAAACAGGGACACTGGATGGGACAGCAAAGCATCTGGAGAGCTTTCAGCCCTGCAGGTAGTCAGTGTCTTTTCCTTTGGCACAGATCTGCTGGTGGGTGTGATCCCCTAAATAAAGCCCCATGGCCTGAGGTTCACTCAGTGGCCATCAAAAGACAGGTGTGAACCTAGAAAGAGATTTATTTAGGGAGAGACCCAGGTGTCTATACTTTTAATGATATTATGGATTCCCAAATTATCTGGGATGTCCACACAGGGCTTTTGGACACCCAGCACTTACAGAAGTTCAGTGGGAATTGCTTGATTATCTGAAGTGGTACCAAACACCTGAGCTTAGGGAATTGGTCCTAGAAATGGCGCTTGGTGATATAGAAAATCTCCAAACACAATTCAGCCCATTCAAAAATATCCATAGAAAGTGTAAGTGTGAGGGATTTGGTGGAAATTCCACACCTTGCACTTGAATTTTCCTGTTATTTGTAAATTTATGACTCAGTCCGCACATGGGGCTGGCCCAGCACCTTCCAGCCTTAGGCTCTGCTCCTGCTGGTGAACAGATGAAACAAAATAGGGACCATAAGGGTGTTGTGTAAAGAACAAAAACTGGGGCACGTTTGAAATCATCATAAGGGAAAATGGGAAGAAACAAAGAAACATCAAATTCACTTTTAATTGTGGTAATATAAAAATAAATATTCCAGCATCCAGGGCATGTTTTTCACCCTGATATACCATGATTCAAACTTGCTACAAGACCTCAAGCTTCAATATTTTGTTATGTTTTCCTGTCAAATTTTCTTGCTGATAGCTACAAATACCAGGAAGCCTCGGCAGCATCAGCAAAGCAATGCTGTGCTCATGCCCAGGAGAGTGGGAGAGGAGCTGGCTGCAGATTGTGTTGACTGGACCACAACAGCCCCAGCACATTTAACTTCAGAACATGGTCAGATGCTGTGTCAGCTGCCCTGCACACTGAGAGCTGCACTGTGCTCCTGGGAGGGAAGCATGGGAGCAACATCTCTGTGATCTGGTGTTTTACTCATGATAATTAGTCCATAGAAAATGTTTCTGCCCTGCCCAGTTCCACAGATCTGCTGCTCTTTATACCCTGCCATGCAGAGGTGTGATAAAAGTGTTAAAGGAAGAGGTTTTTCTTTTTATTTTTTTTTTTTATTTATCTCATTAAAATCCCTTGATTTGTGTGCTGTATTTAAATTCCAGATTTTATCTGGATTTACCTTGTGGGGATTTCATTAGATCTACACAAGGAATGGGACACTGAAAAATGCAGAGAGAGGCAGGAGGAGGAGGATCAGCTTTGAAGTTAGCTTTGACCTGAAGGACTGAGCTCACCCATTCTTGGTGGTTCAGGTTTTGGATATTATGAAGTTCTCACCTAGGACAGGCTCCTTGGCTCTTTTTCACAGTGTACATGATGAGGATATATATTTATTTTAGGTAAACACTGTGGTGTCATGGCTCAAACCATGACAAACACTTAGCCAGAAGGAAGACAACATGTGGTGTAAGGTAAATTATGCAGATAATGTTCTATTATGTGCACAGAGTAAAAAGTAGAAGGGACATGAATTTCCCCAGGGAAACACCTGTGAGAGGGGAGGCTGGGACAACACATGAAATAAAATAAAGAAGAGAAGAAAGAAGGAAAAATAAATTGGAAATAGACAGTTCTGGCAGATTTTGCTTGAACGAGACAGAAGACTGAATGAGCAAAAGATTGTACTGGAGGCGATTCCTTCCAAAGAAAGGACTTTGTATTGATGTCACACATCCAGGTCACTGCTCCAGCTCCTGAGGACAGGACTTTGACCCTGCAGGTATTTATGAAGCTTGGAGTGAGAGATTGGAAAGTGTGAAAAGAATCTATTTAGAAAACAAGTTGGAGCATCTCTTCCCTCCAGACCTTGCTTTTGTTACAAGGTGGGGAATGCAGTGATTTTTTTGTAGTTCTGGCCTGTTCTGTATGGACTGCTGAGGTCTGGCTGGAGCCATTCCTGTGGGTTGTGTGGCAATGCAAGATCAGATGCAGCAGAGAAAGCAGCCCCTGGGCTGAACCAGGCACAAAGCACTGCTGAGAGTGGAGTAATGATTGTATTTGAACAGCAGAGCACAGGGAGAGTCTCAGTGGGCAGTAACACTTCATTCCATCAGCAACAGCAAAGAGAGGCTTCTCTGCTGTGTCTCTTGTTTCACTCAGGGCTGTGCCTGGTAGCAGCAGCAGGTCTCAAAGCTGCTGGTTTGGGTCAGCCCTGGTCCTGCCTGCCCTGGTGCTCAGCTCACTGCAGCTGCAGTCCTGAGGGGTCTGTGTGTGTTCTGTACAGTGGAACAGGCTGAGCTGTGCTCGAGGGAAAAAAAATGAGAGAATAAAATAGGCTGGGGTTTTTCCAGTCCTTGTGATAGGTCCATAAAGTGTTAATCTCCTCCAGATTTTCCTCAGTGTGTTCAGCCTCAAACTCTCTGGCTTTTGAGACTCAGGGATTCAGGATTTTGCAGGATATGCTGCAGCCATTGACAGAAATACAATTGTCTCTTCCCATGTGACTGCCAACACTTCGCTGCAGATAAAAGAATGGGAAAACAAATCTTAAATACTGGAACCCTGTGGTTCTGCCTTCCCAAGACTGTTTGAGGTGACCCCTGTGCTGTGCACTGCCCTCCTGCAAGCAGCTGCTGGCAGAATCACTCCCCTGCCCTGAGCTCACAGGTACAGCCCCACAGTAAGAAAACAAGCTTATCAGTCTTTTGCATTTGTGTTGACACCTGCAGGTTCAGAGACTTTTTGTTTGTTTTCCCTGTGCTCCTCAGTGTATAATTGGCCAGATTGCATTTACTTTTTCTCTCTCTTGCACTAATCACAGCTGCAGACTGGAGTAATTTGCTGATGCTGTACAAGGAATTGTCTCTCCTGGAGTCCTGGCTGGTGTGATCAGAACTCACATATGGTACCAGAACAAAGGGCCCTTCAGGCAAGTGGTTCTGTTTATTTTGGCTCAGGTCAGTGTTCCTCCCCTCTCTCTGTGTCTTCCCCTCCCTGTGTGCTGTGCTCATCTTTTTTCCCCTGATTTTGGAGCTGCTGGCTCCTTGCTGTCAGATCTAGGGTGGCCTGGCTTGTGCAGCATCAGCACCACAGATTTGAAGGATGTGGGAGGAAAGTGTCCAACATACTGCTTGTGGTTAATATGCTGTGATGCCTTGCTTCCCTTTTCTCCTACTTCCTTTCCACATCAAAGAAACATTCCAAGGCTTCCTCTCTGCTCCCCCTCCTTTTCTGGTTAAAGATATTGTGAGTAACTTCATGTGGACTCTTGTTTTTCATAGACACTGTGGGTTCCACCATCTACAGATTACTCTAATCCTAATAGCAGTTATTGGCCTTGACTTATTCCTTATTTCCTTTGGAGCAGCTGCTGGCAAAGCTGCTGCTCTCCTGACGAATTTTGTTGGTCTAATTTTTGATAGCATACTTACAGCTAAGGCTGACAGCCTGTTAAAACAGTGCCATCTCTGCATTTAGTACTTCTCTGCCCCCCAGCTCTCATTTCAGCTAAGTATCAAACATCACTCACCATGTTGCAAAAATCAGTAGCAGTTTGCAGTATTAGAAGGAAGGAAAATGACAGGAAGTAATGGATGAAAAGGTAAGTAGTGAACATCAGCACCTTTGGTGGTTGTGTACTGATAAAGAATAAAATAGCTGCTGTCTCCTTCCCTCCTCCTGAGGCTTTCTTTTCTCGACAAAGAGGCAGATATATAATGGTTAATGTCTCTCTAGCATCAGTATCCTATCTGTGGGCTCACAGATTTCTTCTATTTGTGCTGTTATTTACAAATAAAAGCTTTCCAGGTTTTATTCTTGGCCCTTCCTGCATTGTGTGTAAGTGTATCTTCTTCTGTCATTTAGCAATGCTTTAGAAAACAGCTGGTGCCCCCAGGGTAAACCTCTAAACAATGTCCTACTCTGACAAAATTCTGCTGCATCAGCAAACCATGTTGTGCATATTTCTCTCATTGTTTTGCAAATTGCTGTTACAAAGAGCTTTTTCATTAAACAGGCTCTTCTGACCTAAGAGATAGTAAAAATTACATTAGAGATGCCATAGTAACTTGTCACTGTGACCTGCCCTAAATAGCTGGACTTATTTCACTTGGATAAATCATTTATTTATAATGACCTATTATGTCATCAGAATTCTGCAGCAGAGATGCTTTAGCTCCAAGTGACATGAATATTCTTTTGAAGGGCTAATCAGAAGATATATACCATCAGGATTATCTGCTTTAAAAATACAGTTCTAGACAGCACTGCCCAAACTGGGAAGCAATGATTAATCTGTTCTGATTACTGTGATCATGTAGATCCTTGCTGCTCACCCATTCTCCATGATCTCAGTTAGAAACAGTTCTAATTCTTAGTTCCTTTTTTCCCTAGAGCTGCATTTCCATGACCAAATTTGCAATTAGAGCCCAGTGCTTCCAGATTTCCTTTGATAACTTAAGAGAACAGCATGGTGCAAAATTTTATCTATCCCCCTGCCTTTTCACAGACTTTAGTGCCTCATTGTCTGTTGGGAGCGTCTCTGTCTGCTTTGGGTACGTACATGGTGCTTCCTGAGCCTCAGAATTCCCTTTGTGCAATTCTGCTCATGAAAAGCCAGCCACAGCAGGCGTTTTGTCCTTGTAAATCCATGGCACAGGGAAGATGTTCTGTATTGCCTCCTGTCTGCTGGCACTGAGGTCACAGTTCTGGCACAGCGTGAGCCAGGAGCAGCTGCAGAGATCCAGGGATGGCCCCGCTGTTGCTGCCTGGAGGGATGAACGTGGCAATAAGTGTCAGGAAAAGGAGATTGCCAGTCATGTTCTGTGTCCTGGCCATGTGATTGTGGGAAAGGGCTGGCAGGTGGCTCCTATTCCTTCCGTGGAGGGTGGGAGTTGCTTTTCTATCTGCTAAATGTCTGCCTGAACAAAACTGTCACAAATATTTGCACACATGGTTATTGACCTCAGCCCCAGCTCAGGTCTGGTCTTTATGTCACACCAGTTCTTCTGCTGCTTTTGAAGACGTCCTCCAGAAACTGCATTTCTCCAGAAACATCCATTTCTGCTCCTCTGCTGAGGAAGTAAAGACAGTGCCTCACAAACCAGGACATTGGGGAATGACCATACCCTGTGTCCATTTTGCACCTAAACACTTCTGAAAATGTTCATATAACCTAGAGAAATCGTGACTGCAAGGGAATATTAGTGACCTGAGAGATGGTGTGTAAATGTGTGAATTTTTTTATTGTGTAGGCTATCTGTGTGAGGCACTGACTGATAAATTTCTGTGGGCAAAATGGTCCTCAAAGAGCAGTGAAAATCCAGCAGTTATTGCAGGCATCCGGAGAGGATGGAGGTGATTGCCCATCACCAGCTGTTCTGAGTGGGAGCCAGGAGGGCCAGCACTGGCACACTGCCTCTGGGCCCCTGCAAGGATTGCCTTAAAAGCTCTGTCTTCACACCTTTACAGTCCAAGTAAAGTGGAGAAATAAATCACTGTGCACAGTTGTCATTTTCCCCCTCTAAGCACCAGCCAAAGCGTTTAAATATAACTAAAGCACTGTATTTCCTCAGAATAAACACTCAGATACTCAAAATAAATTGCTAGGTCCTGGTATCAAAGGAATGATTTATAATCCAATTATACTGGGAATTTTATTCTCTATTGTTTCACTGATAGGTTATGGGTCAATTAGGTGTTTTACTCCTGGAGAAACACCTCCTCATTCCACCATAAAGTGTGAATTTGGCATTCTGGAATTTGCTCTGTTCACCTTATAAACCACATCCAGTTTTTGGGGAAAAACTTTGAGAATCACTGTGCCAAGGGCCAGGTCTGTAATTTTTGTAGCATTTTGTCTCTGTTTACTGCATTGGCAGGAATGCAGAGAGTTCCTTTCTGGTGAATAATATTCACCATCTTCTGTTTCCTCATCAGTCTTGCAGTGTATGGAAGATGTTAATGGTGAAGCTGAGTCTGTAAGGTCACTGGGAAATGGATATTTCTGAGCCTTCAGGGGAGGCTGACAGCATCAGTAATGGGTCTTCAGCAGGGGCCGTAAGCAGACACCTGGTGAAGAATAAGAATAGAAAAAAACCTGTTTAATCTTCTTCCATAACATTTTTACTCTCTGAGTACAGTCAGCTCAGGATTTCCTAAGGCTGATGTGATTCTCAGCAAGCTGTCCTGTGTTCCTCTTGTAGCTCCTTGTCCATTCTGCCCTTGAACATCCACAACTGTAGAACCACTGTGGAAAAGGCACGATGCTTTTAGAACAAAACCTATTATCCCCTCCAATGGTACAAAAACCCCACACTTACTCTAAAGCCTTTAGTTAGATTTTTTTATCAGTAAAATCTGAACAAGGGAGGGGGTTTGACCAAGTTAGTGAATGTAAAAGAGGAAGTTCAGGGGGAAACTGTTTTATTATTATGCCTCTTAAATCTTGCATTATTTTAGCAATGCAAATTCAATGCTGCATTTTAATTCCCTTGTTAATATGGAATTTTCCAGTCCCGTATGTGTGTAAACAGAAAGGGAATCCAGCCCAAGGGCTTTGTATCATCCTCTATTTGCTCCTCCTCCTTTCTTTTTACAAATTAGAGTGACAATGTCATAATCTTGAATAACATTATACTTTTCTATTCCTATAAACTACAGTCATGTTCTCTAGCTTTTGTATATCCTCTTTTTGCTCTTCCTCCTTTCTTTTTACAAATTAGAGTAACAATGTCATAATCTTGAAGAACATTATACTTTTCTACTCCTATAAACTACAGTCAAGTTCTCTAGCCACAGGGATATCGAACATAAAAGAGAAATAAAATCCAGCCCCAGTCACATTTCTGCAGTGAGACCCCAGGCAGATGATGTTTTTGGTATCCTCATGCCCACGCTTTTTGGTTTCCTGGATGTGGCTCTTGGCATCCTGGAGCTGTTTGTAGTAAATGTTGCTCACTGAGCAAGCCTGTCCCTCCCCATGCCTGCCTCTCCTTGTTGCTCCTCTCCCCACACCTTGAGTTTCTGACACGTTGATACAACAAGCACTGCAATAATTAGGGCACCATATGGCACTCGCAATCACAGAGCAATCCCAGCATCGGTGGGTTGGGTGAGCAGTCAGAAAGAATAAAAGAAGCAAGGCTGCTGGTGTGAGCAGATGACTAAATCAGCGTACTCACATGGCAGAGAAGCACTGAGTAAGTTACGTGTATGTCCAAGCTGGACTTGGGGAATTTTTTGGTTTTGTCCTCATCCACGATGAAAAGTCACCCTGGGTTAGAAGGGTGCACTGAGCTGCTGCAGAGAGATAAGTGCCCTTCATGGCACATCTCTCTGAAGATGATCTTTATTATATTTGGCTTCCCTCAGGTCGCTGAGTTCTCTAATATTTCCCTGCCTGGGATTGTATTGCCATTTACCAGTTATAATGGGTATTTAGTGTTTTCAATTATTTGCTACTTCATTGAGAGCACAACAGTCATTGGAGCCATTGTGGGATTCTCAGTTAATCCTCTAAATAATAAAAGGAATCAGGGAGCATGTATAAGCAGTGAGATTTTCCTGGGCTGGCTGTCAGCTGGGAATGTGAGCAAATCATGCCCACGAGCCATCACAGTCACGCTAACAAAAGCTTTGGGGCACATGCAGAAATACAGATTGTGGAGTATTCTTGGGTTGTATCTCTGGAGAAATGTTATAGCTGTGCTTGAAGAAGAGTCTTGTGGTGATGTAAAATGCATGTCCTTTATGGATGGTTGCTCATATGTGCAGAGTGTCAAGGATTTTGGTGTAGAAAACCCCATTTGGTGTTTTCTCCCTGCTGAAAACATCTTCTTCCAACTGAAACACTTCAGCTGCTTGGATGAAGATTGTCTTTCACACTAAATAGATGTTTTCATGTTTGCACTAAACCTTCTCTAATAACGTGGAATAGACGTGATGGATGCCACAGAAGGAAGGGCAGTTCCCAGGGAAGGTTTGTGGGTGACCTCCCAGGATTTCACCTTCTCCTCAAGGAGCCCCAGGACATCCCTTCCTTTGTTTCCACAGAGCAGATGTAAAGCAACCAACCCCTTTTTTTTTCCTGAGGACAAATCACTTCCAAGTACATCTGGATGAGCATGAAGAATGGGAATATGAATACAGACAATTATGATGGAGTAGAGGCCTTGTAAATTTATACCCAAACTTACCCCCTGGTAACTCATTCATCTGCGTGTCTTGACAGAGTGCATGAGAAATAGCGGGACAATAAAGGCTTTTGTTATGCTGAAAGATGTTAATAGCTGGCCTCAGGGTGAGCTGGGTTTCCAAGACAATCGCAGATAACACAGATAACACAGCAAAACTCCCAGAATGAACACTGAAGCCTTTATTTTGTAAAATAGAGAGACTGGGGCTATGTCAGGCTGGGGGTTGTCTATAAAGGTACAGGTTTTACAGGATCTTATTTTTATGGAAAAGTACTTTCTGGGGTTGTGGGGTAGCTGAACTGCTTGTTACGCATATAGAAATATCCAGCAAAACATCATTATAGACATCCATACCCATGGAAATATCCAGCAAAACATCATTATAGACGGCTGTGCCTCAGCGGGTGGGGTCTGGGGAGTGTCAGAGGGCGCTGGGAATGGCCCTTGTGCCCCTCCAGCCTCTCTGCCCGACTCCAGCACCACGCTGAGAACAAAAGGCAAAGAAACAGCGGCAGAGAAATACCGCAGGGAGCTGCTCTGACAGCCTTGGGATGGTTAGTGATGTTTCAGAAAAGCTTCCCTATAATTCAGTCTCCGAGGGAGGGAGGTTATAATGCAGATGTGTCCTCACCCCTGGTGCACAGTGGAGCTCCTTCTCTCATCTCCTTTCTGCCTCTTTTCACTCTTGTCTCTGTACAAGCTGCTGCCCCTCAGGGGAGACACCATCATAATCACAGCCTGTGTGAGGGATGGGGAGGTTTGATTGTAGTTTGTAAATGTAAATCTGGACTGGCTTGGTTCTGTCTGAAAATAGTGTCCTTCCCAAGGTGATGCTTCTGTGAAAGGCTCAGGAATGAACAGCTGGAATGGGTCCATTCCTATGTATTTAGGGAAACATACACAGGTGTTTTGGGTGGATTCCCTTGGCCCAAATGTAATGCCTGAGTGCTGGCTTCTGGTCTAAACAAGGGTATAGGTTTGCTCTGTAGTTGGTAGGACAAAAATGTGACTTTCAGAAATTGAAATTTCTCATTTCTCTTGGACAGCAACCTTGGGATGAGACAAATGGTCCTTGGAAGGTGTCTCTCTCTCCAGTGACCGCAACAGCAACCCAGAAATGCTGCAGGTCAGTTGAGAGGAAACCAACACACAGTTCAGCAGCACTGGCAGGTTTGCTCCATGCACCCCTGTACACTTAATAAAAAACCCTTCCCAGAGCCTTCACCACAGCTGCAAAGCACAAACCCCACAACAGTTCTCTGCCAGAGGAAGAAACTAAGAACATCCTAAGGGAGAATGCACAGAGGATCCTAGGAAGTGCTTTTACCTCAGTCTGGACATGTGGCTAGTAACAAAATGACAGGTGAACAAGCAAGAAACTTGAATTTTTTAAGGCAATGCCAGATGAGAGCCATTGATGTGATGGGACAAACTGGAAATTTAATGGGATGAACACACTCCAGAAATGCCAGCCCCAAAAGTTAAACAAATGTGAAACTGAGCACATTTTGCTCTTGGTATCCATAATATAAGTAGAGCCGTTTATTTATTTTAGCTTTCATCTTCTTGCTCTTCTGTCCTCAAAAGAGATAGTTTGGATCAAGTCACTTAAGTCCACACTGAACAAAATGTACCTTTGTGATTGATATCTACAAAAACTCAGAGTGACAAGGTAATAAAACTGGAAAGGTTTGGGTTCCTTCAGGGAAATCCAGTTCTGCTCACTTTGCTGTCAGAATAATGGGGTGTCTATTTTGTGGTCATAGAGTTAATGCATTTGATGCAGGTAGAGTGGTTTTCAAGTAATTTCATTCTGTTTCCTATATATATGCACATGGCACACCATTATAGACTAAATGTCTGTAAAATGGGGATGCTCTGCAACCCCAAATAATGTCTGAGAGAAAACAAACCATTCCATGGCTCCTGCTGAGCTGCTGGGGCTGGTGCTGCTTTGGAAGAGGATGGGTTCACATTTCTGAACAAAGCAGTGGTGAGGCTGGATAAACACAATGTACTGAGGGTTGATGTTTCAGATCAGGGGGAGGATTTCAGGAAATTCACTGAATGTTCCTTGTGCCTCTGCTCACCCAGAGGGACAACTTAGGCAAAAAGGAGCAGTCACACTGAGAGACAGATGCCAGCTTTTGGAGCAGGGCAAGCAAAGGACAGCAAATAATGCAAGGCAGAGAAGATCTGATGGGTGATGAAGAGTTTCTTTCAGGATTGTTTGGAAAATTAATCCACAAACACCAGAGGTTTATGTCCAAAAAGGAGACAGAGGAGTCCTTTCTGGCTTTATTCAAATAAAGGGAGAGGCCATGGGGCATTCCCCTGGGTTCTCTCCAATTTTTGGAGCATGCAGCCTCCTTTTTATCCCAATTTCACAGCTGCATTTCCCTTCTCTCTTTCCCCATTGGCTGAGGTACTTGAGAGGTTCAGACTCCCCGATACACCTGATACCAAAGATTTCCCAAAGATTTCCCTCTAATGTATAACCTTCCCTTTTAATATTTAATTCTTAAGGAATTTAGGGCTTTTTTCTTCCCCATTGTTTCTTTCATATTTCAATGTCTAATTTCATTTATCAACAAACCTAAAGTTTATTTATAAAAGCAAATATCTTTTTCCATTCATCAGTCAGTGGGATTCTTCTCATTGTTTCTTTTATCTCCAGAGCTGGTTTTACCTACCAGCAGACCCACAGCTTGTTTGTAAAGACAAATCCACTGTTCCTCTCAGGATGGTCGGGTGTGAGTATTTCTGAAGGCATGTTTAGTCACCAGTGGGCTCTTCCCCTTGCTGAGCAAAGTGAGCATTGGTGCTGCCACGTTCTGCCACCCAAAGAAGGAGGAATTACAATATTCCCTCACTCAAACAGCGGGGGAGAGATGCATTGCACAATCAGTGGCTCAGGTTGCTGAAGATGCAGCACCTTCCACTGTACAGTGAAGTGCTGCCATATCCCCCTTGTGAGCAAAGGGCAGCAAAACTGGGGCTCCTTCAGCTCATTCTCATCCTGGTCCTTCCTTTCCCCCTTCCCTGAGCACTCACTGTCAGATCTGAGGTAATGATGGCTTTCCACTGGATTTAGGAGAGGGATATATCTCATTACAGGCAGTAAGAGAATCATGGCTGGAGCTGCAGAAGGGGTCAGGTGTGTGGAGCCCACTGAGGAGAGGCTGACACACACACACACACACACACAGAGGCTGAAGAATTTAAGATTTTATTGTAAACAACAGTGGTGAGATTGCTCTCACCCCACTCCAGGTATCTAATCATCTGGCCTGATTCAGATTTCTACATCAGGTTAAGATGAATCAGGGTCTGAACACACCCCTCTCTCCCCACTGGCTGCAGTCAGTGTCTGGAGCAGATGAAGTTGTCTGAGCTGGAGCTCTCTGTGTCTGCTGAGCTGGAGCTGGCCCCATATGAGAGAGAGTAAATTTGCCTGCGCAAATCCCAGTTTGAGCATTGGGATATTGCTCCGTCTTTCAGTGAAACCCGCCTGTATAGCCATTTCTACACTCCCAGCAGACTAATTATTACAGAATTTCTCTGTCATTGCTTTGCAACGGTCCACAGCTTAACTAATTTAAAAATGCAAATGAATGCTAAATTGCAGTTGAATCTGAACCATCTCTTTCTCCCTCTCTCTCTCCTCCTTTCTTTTTTTCTTCTCTGCTGGGAAAAGAAAGATACAGCAGACATCAAATGCTGATGGTGAAAATCAATCTTTCAGATTTGAGGTAATTTTAAATTAGGTCCCAATGCCAGGGATAGTGACATCACCAGAGCTGCTTGATTGATTGGTGATTTGAGGAGAAACAGCTTGGACTCCATCCTCCCTTTGTCCTCACAGAGAGAAATGAATGTTGCAGCCTTCAGCTCTTTTCCCTGGGAGGCTTTCACACTCAGATGGCCTCAGATGTTGGGGAGAGGCATTCAGGGAGAACAGGAGCAAATGCCTGAGCTCAAACACATCTCCTTGTGCTGCCCTGCTCCCCGGGCATCAGGCTGGGGCTCTGTGCTTGTGCACAGCCAGCCGAAGGGCTGTCCCCTCTGTGGCATCCCTAACCAGCTTCTGGCACTGAGCTCAGCTCTTGGTACACTCACAATCTGTTAGATCAGCCAAGATTGTCTCATCTCTGTCCCCTCCTTTCCCTGCCTGCTGACACCAGCTCTTCCCTTACAGAGTAACTTCTTTAAGGAAGAGTCTATAGCTGCCTATGTGAGAGGGACTTGAAGCTCTAGCACCATGGTTAGTGGTTTTGAGCTGCAGGATCACACGAACAGCCTAAACAGCCATTCACAGTCAGCCTCATTGCTTTCATAATGCCAGCACTGCACTGTAACACAAACACTGAGATGGATGCTCAGAAATGGAGCCCTTGAGCATTTAGAGAGTCTGTGATGGGCTCAGAGTGAGGTATTGGGATTGCATCCCTCCATCCCTGGCAGGAGAGTCTGGAAATCCAAGCCTCCCCACTCCTGACTGCCGATCTGTGTGCTGTGTAGCTGAGTTAGGTACCCAGACAAGAATATCCAAAACAAAACTCTGTGCTTAGGGCTGAGGATAACAGACCTGCTTACCTGTTCATCCTCAGCTCATGTATTGATGATAGTCTTCATGATAAATGACATCTTGCTGAGCAAAATACAGAAAATTACAAGAATCACCCCAGAGGGCAGCTGCTGGCAGCTGTGTACACAGGACTATACTGCTGTTCATGAAGCATTTTTCTATTTTGCAAATTGATGCAGAGATGGAATTTCATGAGTGTTTGTTGACACTCATGTACAGCAGTCAGATATCTAAATGGGCTCTGCAGAGATGATTGAAATTCCAGCTTGAGTTCCTCACTGTGTCCATAGGCTTTGTAAAATCCCACACTGTTTGCTGGGCTGATGTGTGATGGGAGGTAAACACGGTTCTTTGGGGCTGTGAACCCTTTTGTTGCCCCAAAGCAGCTGCTAGATGTGCACACCCCTCACAGACACACACACACCCCCATGGACACGCACACCTCTCCCCCCAGGTCCCAGACCAGTAAAGTGTGTGGGAGAGACTGGTTTTCAATTACAATTCAAATGTCACAATGATAGAATCCTCCTAATCCTTTAACAAAAGCGTGCATGGTTAAATCAAACTGCAATGCCTCGGGCTCTGGGTAGTTTTGTTGACCATCAGCTTAGTGCCAAATCTCCTGGGATATTTTCATGGATTCAGAGCATGCAGGGGGTGCTTCCAGCCCTTGCTCTTGGCTGTCAGGCAGATGGAGCTGCTGAATTCTCATATGTGACCTCTCAATAATCCTGTGAGGAAGAGGAACCCTTGGCCTTCTGTTCCATGCACAAAAGCTTTCAGTGTCTCAGCCTGGGTGGAAATGTGTCTGTGAGAAGGCACAGGTCGTTTTCTGTGTGGATTGACTGCATTCAAAGAGGGAGGGAGGGAGAAAGAGGAGCAAGAAAGTTTCCTGCATTTTCCCTGAGGGAGGTTTTTCCTTTGTTCTCATTTTCCCCAGGGGCTGTAGCTGGAGTTGGCAGTGCCAGCCCAGGGTTTGCTGGCTCCTGTGCATGGCAGGGCACACTCACAGAAAGAGTTCTCTGGTGGAGATTTGCTTCAGTGTTGTTCCATTATCCTGAGCTCCTGAGGGAGAGGAGAAGTCATTGCTGGATAACCCAGGTCTCTGTAGCTACGGGCTGACAGTTTCTGTGCTCTAAGCAAGAACTTCTGGAGGTTTCTGTGTGTGTGCCCATTAAAGCCCTCAGGGGATCACCAGCACAGGGTTGAAGGATGGCTGGAGAATTTTCCCAACATTTCCCTGGCCTCGTGTCCAGAGGGAAGGCAGAGGAGCTTTTATTCAGAGTAGAACTGCAGGAGTCCTAATGGGCTGTCATGCTGGCTGTGCATTATTGGTGGTGTTCTTGTAGGAGCTTTAGAGCCACACATGTGACAGCCTTAATTTTGGATGTGTGTACAAGGCCAAATCCTCATCTTGGTGACACCAGTGCAAAACTGAGATTTATTATAATTTTAATTTCAGAGTGAGCTCTAGGCTTTCTTTGAGAACAGGATCTGACCAAAGACCACCTGTGCAATGGGAAAACCTGGTAAGCCACAGTTCCTCTGGGCACAGAGTGCTGCAGGTCTGTGTTTGTCCTTTCCATGTGTGCTCTGAGTCAATTCCTTTAGTTTAAAATCTCATATCCTCCTGCCTCAGACTGTGTTTGGGGCAGAAAGACTAAAACTGAATCTCCTCTTTGGGCATGTGTCAGAATCCCATGTATGTGTGTGTGCAAACACACACTCACACAAATATGTGTATGTATTCATGTATTTTTCTTTCCATATCACCTGGGGGTGTTTTTTTCCCTGTGATTCTCTGCTAGTAGGCAACAAAGCAAGTCGAAGTTTAATTCCATTTAATTTTAGTGATAAAGAACATTGCAGTCACAAGAGGTTTATCATTAATGTTGGAGGACATTAAGTATTTGGGGTTTTTTTAGTTGCAAGATAATAATGTTCTAGTGTAAATGTTTTATAATTATCTCATGAATTATTCATGGTTAACTTGTTAACCCGGCATTTTATGGGATGTGGTCTCTGGAGTGCAAGGAGAAATTTAAAGATAAATAAATGTGAAGACAGGACCCAGCTGCAACAATGAAAATGCACTGAGGCCTCTGATTTATTTTCTGTCTGTGCTGAAGGGTGGTTTCATTCTTTTATTTATATTTTTGTGGTGATGAGCCACAGAACTTGAGTAAGTGGATGAGGTTATTTTCTATATATAGAGAAAGAAAAGAAACACTGGGAAATAAATCAAACTCTCTTCACTGTTTTTTAATCTGAAAGTGGTGCTTGAATTATTTCACCTATTGTTCTGCAGCTCAGAGGTTCTATTATTGTTGATACCGTCTCCATCTGGTGAAGCATTAATGAAAAATGGAAACCAGCAGATATTTTTCTTTATGCATATTATTCGGCCTTTTTCCTGTCTTCACCTTTCCTTCTACTTCCCTTTCTTCTCTCTTCTTTCATCCTTATTCTCATTTCAGTTCTTTAATAATTTCTTTTTTTTATATGATTTTTCTCTCTTTCCCTTTCCATTCTTCTCTCTGTTCCTCTGGGATTGTCTTTTTCTCCTCACTTTCCTCTGATTCTTTCACCATGTCTCACCGGTCAATGTTTTTTATTGGCTGCAACTCTCTTTTTGTTCTCTCTGTTGCTGACAGGATCTTTATGGTGTATGAGCCTTGACCCCAACCTCTGAAGGAGGAATCAGACCTGGAGAAAAGTTCCTGCAATTCAAAGAAATGAAGTGGCAACTTCTGGGAGAAGAATGTTGAAACTCAAACCTGGATTTCTAGCCTGAGTGTCCATCAGGCCTTGATAACCAAGCTGCACCAGGAAGATGAGCAATAACTGCATTGCCATGTGCCAGGGACCAATGGGCAGAACACCCTGCAGGGGCCTCAGAAGGCTCCCAGCTTGCCTGGTATCCATGAATCCAAATGGAAAAGAGAAAACGGCAAATGACACTCAATCCCAAAGTGAGCCAATCTGTCCTTGTACCCAGAGAAACAACTGACAGCTGACACAGGATGGGACCTGCAGGGATTTCTGCAGGAGCAAAGGCTCCTCTGGGGAAGATTAAAGCTCAGTGCAAACCCCAAGGTCACTTCTACATGAGCAGTGGGAAGGGAACAGGGTAAAACTTGGGATCACCTGAGCTTGCTGGCATCCAGCAGGGTTGGGGTTTATTGCACTGGAGATTCCACAAAACTTTCACCCACCAGGAGCTCTGGGCTCTGCAGAGTCTGATGGATATCCTGAAAAATTTTGGAGTGACATTTTGGAGGGTAGCTGGCAAAACACGAGCCAGCAAGACATTGTAGAAAGATGAATTCATAAGCAGAAAGTTTTAGAGAGGGTACTTGAGGATGAAAGAGTGGTTCCACCAACCTTCACCATTCATTTATTTAAATTTATGCTACAAAATGGACAGCAGAGGAAAGTCAAAACTTGCACTGATGATTTTTCATTCTCTTCCCCCCACTGCCCCTGATCTTTTATTTATGAAACTGGTCTGGGTGCACCTTTCAAATGACTTTTTTTGGCTTACTGTTTATTACGTCTTCATCAGCCTTGAAATGGCAGCTGCAGGCAGCTTGATAAATGGATGGAAAAGCTGCTTCTGCCAGAGTCAAACTAACAAAAACCCCTCAGCATCCATAAGGGTTTTTGTTTTAGCATTTCTAAAACAAGCACTATTTCCCTCAAAGCATCACTGAAGAGTGATGCTCCAGTAGCCCTGAGTGTTTCAACAAAGGGATTTTTTAATCCAGTGATGCCCAGGGCAGAAGTTCCTCACTGGGTCATGGACAGGACTCAGCCTGCAGCTCTGGAGAGCAAGGGCAGAGAAAGAGAGAGAGAGACAGGGGGAGAGAGAGAGAGATGTGGTCTTAGGAAGGCTGAGAAAATCACTCCAAAATGTGCTGGGCAGATCAATGGAGTAAATGAGGCAAAATGTATGAAGTTGGGTCCTGCTCACAGAGACTTGCAGCTTTCATGCAGCTATTTTTTACCCAGATACTTTCTGAACTCTTCATTTCCTCCCAATCCTTCTTTAAATATGAACAGCTCAATACATCCCTGCTTCAAACCTTTTGTCCTTAGCACATTTATATTCCACAGCTGGCCCAGCCTGGCAGTAAACAAGGGTTTAGCTACTGTGGCTTATTGACAGTGGTGAATGGTTCAGTCCCATCTGTGAAGGTATAAAATACCCACAAGAAAATAAATACCCCATAAGAAAGTGGTAAGGAACCATCCAGGTGAAAACCTGTCGTGTTATCTGCTGCAGCTTACAGCACAAATGTTGCAGCAAAGAAGGGAGACAGGGGAAATCCACCACCACAAAAACCAACCAACCAACCAACCAACCAACCAACCAACCAACCAACCAATAACATTAAAAAAAAAAAACCCAAACAAAAAAAAAAAAAAAAAACAAAACAAAAAAAACCCCAAGAAACCTGAAAGGAATGAAAACATGGGGCTTGTGAGAGGAAGGAAGAGCTCTAGTGGTGAATACTGCAGGCAGAATGACAGAGGCTTGTGCTCTGTTCCTCACTAAGGTTGTTTGAGCTCTGCATGCAAGGAAAGAATGTGAATCTCCCCTGGCCTGAGCTGTTGGTGTGGAATTTGCCACTGTGGATCACCCTGACAGCAGGGCACCCCACTCCTGACACACTTTCCAGAGAGGTGGCAGCACTGCAAGGACACCTGATGGGCTCTGCCAAAGTTAATAATCTTATTTCCTTTCTCCTTACCATTGCCTGCCTGGGTTCTGACTGTCCCTGTCTCTGGCTGACTGTCTCTGACTCTCTTTGGCTATTCTGGCTGTCCCTGGCTGTCTGTGTCACCCAGGAGCTGCCAAGGTCCTGGCTGCTTAGGGACACATCTTCCCAGCAGTGATTCCAGTGCCATGGCCACTCTGTGAGTTTTCTTTCCTAATTATGGGGAGCCACTATCACTGAGTTATTGCAGTCACCCAACCCTGTCTCTTTTTTCCTGTCTGCTGCAGTCCCTCTTGAGAGCTGCCTGGATTCAGGGAGAGTTTTGCTGTTCCTTGAGGCAGGAGGTGAGTGTGGGACAGAGGGATGGATGCTGCTTTTCACTCCCTGGAAAGATGTGGCTGCCCAAGGCCAGGCAGGTAGGAATGATAATGGCAATAAGGAGGTATCTGGACCCTGTGATTCTCTGGTTATTTAGAATGCATAATTGCAGTTTGTTTAACACCAAAGGATACCCGATCATTCACAGGAAAGAAGCCAGTGGTGGGGATCAATATTTCTATTGCTCTGCTGGAAAAACAGCAGAAAAGGAATGGCTCTTTAATGATTACAGCAGAGCAGAAGAAGTCTGTGCTTAAGGCTGTTTGTAGCAGGGGCCAGCAGAGGGTTTGTGCAGTGCTGGCTCTCATTTCAGACTTGAGATTCAGTGAATGAGTGTGGGTGATGGACCCTGCACTCCAGATGTGGCTTGGCTGGAGACAGGGCAGAGAACAGCTCTGCCATCCTTGATCCAGAGAGAAAAATTAACTCACCCTGAAGATAAAATAAAGAACAGTAACTTGAGTATATCTCAGCTGAGCATTTCAGCCTCCATTTTCTGCTCAGACCATACTGATGAATATTTTTTCTGCAGGCATAAGAGTTACCAAGAGCTGACTTCACTTGGCACAGCCAGAGCTGGGTTTGCTCTGGCACCTGTGGGATGCTGTAGCAGAAGCACAATCTGTTTTACCCAAGTGTTTAGCTGAAAGTTTTTGTTTCCAATTAAATATTTGTTGAGCCCTTCTTGGAGAGTCTTGCAGAAGGAGTAGGAGGAAGTGACTCTCCAAATGGGATTCTGTGTAGGAATTCTTTATTATAGGCACTGACAAGGAATATGGCTCAGAATTAGCTATAACTGAGCTTGTACTTGTTTTTGTCATTAATCAATATCCTGATTTCTCATCCAGAGCTTGCAACTTGTATTTAATTATTCTGCCATGCCCTGTGAAACAAAAGACTGAGAATTGTCCCAAAATGAGAGTATTTTCTAAGTCGGTTTGGATGAGGTGGCCAAGCCTGGCTCACCATCTGTGTTTGCACTGTCCTGAGCAGCAGCCTGGGCTGACTGAACACGTGTGAATCTTGTGCTGAACATATCCAACAGACCACTGAGTAGTTTTGAGAGAAAAAAGAAATGAAGGATCTCTACATCATAAATCAACACTGGGGGAGCTGGGACAGGTTTTCTCTTTGGGTGTCCAGAAATGCAGGCTCGGCTCCCAAGGCAATCAGGGCACCCCAGTGCTCAGTCCCACAGGTTTGCCTGGCACAAGACTGACCTCCAGTGGCACTGACTTGTGTGGTTGGGCTGTGAATCTGGGGAAGATGTGTGCAAATGCTCTTTAAAGGCCACACGTTCAGTTTTCAGGGCAGATATTTGCTCCTTGCCTTCTTCAGACCTTTCCAGCATAAGCACAGATGTTGGGGACAGTCACATGCTGAGCTGGTGAGGTGGGAAATTCTGAAAATGTTCTCATGAAATAGGAAGGAGATATCCTACCTATGGCTTCTCTCCCTGCATGTGGTGAGAAAGAAAGGGGTAAAAGAGAATGGGAAGAAGCTGAAACTTTTGGGGCAGAGTGAATTTCACTGTGCAAATGAAATTCTTCCGCCTGTGTTTGAGTTACTTAATCCCAGGACAGTGCATGATTTGCAGCTCTACCTCTGCAGGGTAAGGGGGAAACTCATCCCAATTTAGCCTGTGGTTCAATTCCCAGGGTGGCAAGCTGCTGGCAAGCTGCTGAATGAGGAGGAACCACCTGCATCATCACTCAGGCTTTCCTTCCTTTCCAGAAATCAACCACGCATTCCTCTTTTAATGGTGGAATTACAGCTCTCTGATTCCTCTAAAATTGACACAGAGCCTTATATTTTCTATTGCTGGTGGGAGTTTGGTTCTCCCTATGTCTTTGCAGAGGGTCTCTGTGTTTCATGTGTCCTCCACACAGTTTTATTGGTGGCTCTCTCTGACAACACTTCCCTCACTGTGTGCATACAGATCTCTCCTCATCCTTAGTGCAGCACCTTAGTGCACTTTCTGCTAGTGAGGACTCACTTGGTGGATTTTTGGAAGAGGTGTCCTGGCTGGATGATACCTACTGGAGCTCCAACAGAAGGAAGAAGATGTTTCCTGTGCCAGTGGAGAACTTCTGTGAGTGGTAGGACACAGCAATGCAGAATGCTTATTAATCTGTGAGCAGGTGAGGAACCCACCAGCTGCTAGAGAGAGGTCCTGGTGCTGATTTCCACATGAAACCTGGCACCACAGAGTAAGGACAGGATAAGGTATGAGAGGCTGCCCTGGATCTAGTTCCACTGCATTTTTATCTCTGTGTTCAAGGGGAGAGCTGCCTTTGGTGTGTGACTTTTGGGCACCCAGGGCTGCATTAACCAAGAGAGATATTTGACATTCCACCTGTGTAGGTAATCAAAGGTCATCCTGGACTAAGTACATCTGGTATTCAGACTCAGAAAAGCTCAGATTTAGCTCAGATTTGTACTCAGGACAGATTCCAATCACAGACTTTGAACTGAGGCACTTGTCCCCTGTCAGAATCTGGAAAGGGGAGGTGGAAAGGTCACAGTGCCCTTGGCCCTGACCAAGAGAAGCATTCACCTGGGGATTTCTGCTGATGTCTGTTGTGGGGCTCAGGGGTTGGAGTGAACCTGGACAGGCTGCAGAATGGAGAGATGAAATGCCTCACTGAAAAGGAACAGCAGGAGCTGGGAGAGGTCTCTGGAGGGAGCAGGGCAGGCACAGCTGAGCTGCCTTTCCCAAAGCCTGCTTAGCATAGGCCAAGGCCCTCATTTACTATTGACTGCAGGGATGTTTTACAAGTGCCCCTTCTGGTTCAGAGAGATATGAAATCTGTCTGTAATTAAGTTAATTTGGAGTTGAACATGGGCAAAGATAATGAGGTGGAAATAACAAAAGAAGAAAGATGGGAAGGTGTTGCTAAGGAACAGGTCTTTTGCATTAAATCCTCTCCCTTCCCCAGTGAAATAAAACCATTTTTAGGATCTTTATGGCTGAGTGATGGGGCAGACAGAGCACAGGCATGGAAATGACTGCTAGATCAAGAGTTCAGTATAATAAAGGAGATAAGAGGAGGGGAGTGACTTGGAGAATTGAGAAAGGCAGGAAGGATCACAGCTGTGGCCAGCACAGTTCAGTGCCAGAGCTTTGGGCTCAGCAGAGGGGTGTCCTGTGCCTGACTCACCCCTTGTTTGAGGGAATTCCCAGTGCCCTGGCCCTCCACTGCAAGTGCTCTGAGATATGGACACAAGGACAGGCCACCACCACTTATCAAGATCCAGGTCTTGCTTATCAAAGATCAGAAACAGCCCTGCCCAAAGCACAAGGCTTTGAACTTCTCCAGTGCTTGACCCTGCTGAGAATTCCCACTGGAGTCAAGCATCAGTGTGAAGGCTTAAGATTGCTTCTCCTTGGCTTTTAGAAATATAATATGTTCAAGCCAGAAGGAGAATGGAAGAGAGGTCCACAGAAAGGAGCAGAATATTTAACAGCCAGCAAAGCATAAGCAAATAGACAAGTCATTATCAATGAGTTTGTTTGAATTTGACAGAGCTTTCCTGCAAACATGGGGGAGGCAAGGGGGGCAAAGAATTCCCCACCAGTGTGAGCTGTAATAAAGGACCTGCTGTTTTCTGATTCTCACTCTCTGTGAAAATTGAAAAGGTTAGCCAGGTAATTGAAATCGGGACTGGAATACAAATAACGGTGTGAGAACCCTACAGCTGGAAAATAAAGTTGCAGGGAAAAGATTCAGTCCTCAGTGGAATTTCTTAGCAGCAAAAAGACTGGATGGATGGGGGGAAAGAGATGATTTTCAATATACCTGCTCCTCTTGGGAGAGCAGACAGGGAATGAAATGAGACCTGAAGGAACCAGGCTGAGATGAACACTTATATGAGTGTTCCTTGCTGTTAATGCAAGAGACACACAAAAACTGGGCTGTGCTGAGGCTGAATCATGTCTGGCAGTCCTTGCTGCCTCTTGGAGGAGTGCAGTGGGTGTGCTGGGATTTGCCAGGCTGCCATATGAGCCCCAGCCTTGGGACTATTTAGTGTTATAGGCACAGAAAGCCAGCTCCACATGACTCAGCCCCTCATCTTGGGACTGGGATCCATAACCAAAGCAGATTTATCTGGGCCAGTGTCAACTGCTGTTCGTCTTTGTTATATGCAGGAGCACAAACTGGTTTGCATCATTTTAAGCTAAGAGCTTGCTGTGTCTCAGTTCCAGTGCTGCTGAAATGGAAATTTATGCCTGCTCTGTTTCTGTGGTTTGTTTTTCTGTGGAAGCAGGTAACCTGAGCTGGGAGGAAACTGTGCTGCAGGGCTTAGGGGAAGCTGAGTTTTGTGGTGCTAACCAGGCTTGTTCACGCTCAAAAAACCCCTTTTTCATGCAGGATTTCCCTAACACCAAGCCAGCTAACAAACCCCAGGCTGTACCTGGCTAAATAAACATGGTTAAAGATACCTCCAGGTTCCTGTGTTAATGCTTTGTTTCCTTCCTCACAGTCTGGTGAGTTTTTCTGTTTCCCAAAACTCTGACTCTTTTAAACTGTGATTCTTGTACTTTTTTGCTGCAGTTGCTCTGTGCTGCCCAACCCACCTGCACTGCAGTCAACAGCAGCACGAAAAAAAACTTCTTTTTGGAGACTTTCCATTGAGTCCAGGCAGCTGTTTGGCTCTGGCAGGACACATCTCTTCCCTGCCCTTGTCATCTCCAAAGGAGTAAAGGAAAGAAAACTGCAAGGTTGCAAACAAATGCTGCAAATGGTACAGTGCTAAAGCTTTGTTGGAATTTCTCTGCCTTTGGAGGCAGCAGCCCCAGAGCAATGAACAAAGGGGTAGGTGAGCCCCTGAGGGTGCTCTCCTCCCTCTGTTTAGTGGTGATTTAGCTGTGAGCCATTTGCTTTGCTCATTTGGAGCACGATTTTCCTACTGAGTCATTTGTGAGGGAGTCTCCTGGGTTCTGGAGAAATGAAACAAATTGGAAGGGTCTGATAAACACACCTGCTCTGCAACAAAGAGCTCACAGCGCTCCAAGGTGACTTGTGCCTGGCTGTGTTTTTCAGCTGCAGAAGTTATGCATAAAAACTACCTGTAAAGCACCTAAAGTAGATGACTGAAGTAGGTCAGATAAATTGGTTTAAGCACAGCTTTTTTCCCCTCTCATTTGACTGCAAAAAGGAATACAGTTTTCCTCTGATGGAGATCGTGTTGTACACGTCTGAGTCAAAGGGTTTTCTGGAAGACCCACATCTAGCCAAAAAACCAAACAAAATCCTGTTCCTCTGGGAAGGATCCACTGCATTTCATAAAATAATGTAAGCTGGGGATGCAAGAAAAAAGTTATTTGGGATTTTACAATTAGAAAATCAGTCTTTTATTCATGAATTAGCTATCCTAGTGGCAAGCAAATTACTCCAACAGCTCCCATACACCTAAAATTAATCTTTCTTTAAAAATTAAGGGGATTTAAGTTAATTTGCTTTTAAAACATCAGACACAGCTTTTCAGGGTTTCAAGAAGTCTAGATGATAAAAGAAAGTCTTCTTCTACTGGTAGCAAATGAGCTTAGCTCTGTCTGGGTATGACCAAGGCAAGCTATTGATTACCCAGAATGCAAATGGAAAGAAATGTTGAGGAAAATCAACAACCCTTGACTCTCCTGGAGAGGTTCTTACATTATGGTCCATTTTGTATGTGTCAGATTTCTTTTTCAGAGTCAGGGAATCATGCACAAGATGTTCACTGTCTTTTGGTGCATGGTGACCTGCCCTAACAACCTCAGAAGTGTGTTTTTCCCAGGAGAGGAAACCTGCAGGGCCCAGATTTGGCAATTTTCTGCAGTTTCTTTGGGAACTCTTTTAACCCCCAGCTCACTCTGAAGGACATTTGCCATCATTGCATTGACTTGGATCAAATTCTAAACTCAAATTTTAATCCTTGCAACAGCTTGTTTGATTTCTTGTTCATTCTGCTTTCATTATCATAATTCTCCTTCCATTAATATCCATTTGATATGGAAATGCCACAGCTCAGCAATTTGCTAGTTTGTAGAAGAAGAAACCTCAGTGGGGAAAATATTAGCAAGTGTCATAACGAAGGCAAAGAAAATGAGACAAATGTGGGAAAACAGAGAGGGAAAGCAGGCCTGGCTGTTCCAGAGGCTGGGAAGGAGAAATTTCTGCTTTGGGACCCTCTCCTTGCTGTGACAAGAGAGTTTTGTGCTGCCCAGTTTGTAACCTCCTCCCGTGTAGAAGCAGTTGTGCAAATTCTGGGTCACAAGGTCCATGGGGATTTGTCTGGTTTTGTGTAAATATAGCAAAAATATTATATATTTTATATATATACATATTTTATATATATATATAATTTTTTTTAAGGACTGTGATTTGGAATGAGCTCTTGGTGTCCTGCACCTGAACATTTGGGGAATGTCCATCTTCTGCCGCTCACATGGAATCAGAGGGAGAAACAAGAAGGATTTCTGGAGCATGGACCAGGCTTAGGTAGACAGAGTTTAGTATATTTATTTTCATGTTACAGATACAGATAACCATCTCTGCAACTGGAATGTACATTGAGTTTTACTGATAAGCTGTGGTTTAAACACTTCAAAACACAGTGGTGTTCAAAAACTTTTCATATAAACTGAACTGAACCATCTTTTGCTGTTCAGGGTGGTTTTTCCAACTGAACCTGGTGTTAGATCTGAGCATTACTCACTGGCAACAACCACAATTCTTCTCCCCTTTGAGTCTTCCTTGTAGCACATTTCAGACTCTCCACGTTTTGTTGACAGTGCTGGAGCACTGCCCTGCTCTCCACACTTTCTGCTCACACATTTGCACATTTCCCAGAGGGAAACAGAAGCAGAGAAATAAATCAATAGACAGTTTCTGTCTCCAAAGTCACGCTTGATTTCAAATAAATACAGTTTTATCACACCAGACCACTCTGGGGGAAGGAGAGTTGTTCTCCATTTTGTGCAACAGGAGTTTTTCTCGGCCAGTTGCCAACATTTTTCAGCAGTTGGCTATGAAAGCTCCTTAATGTATAAATAAAGGAACAGCATCAGCTTTCATGACATCTCTATCCATCTTCCTGGTTTTTTCATCTTTGGATCCAGCTTTCAAAATGCAGGAGGTAAATATCAGAGCAGAGTGATAAATAACTCCAGCACTGACCTTTTGGGGAGAAAAGCCTCCAGTGGGCATTGACTACATTGAGGGAAAAAGTGAATTAAATATTTTCTAGAGATCCTCCCTCAGGAGTGAGGGGTACCAAGCTGTGCAGTCATAGGGAACTTAACTTGAAATCTGCAGTTAGTCTGCATTTTTTCACTGCATTTATTTTATTTTTCAGCAGAATTCAGAGGAGTTTTGACATGTCCCTCCCAATAAGACTTTCACAGAAGGTTTGGTTTCGTGCAAGACTAAATGTTTTCAGCTTTGATTTTGATATCTGGCCAAAAAAGATTAGTTGTTTTTGCTTTTGCATATCACCGCTTTTGGCTGACAACAAATTAAATGTGATAAATCAAATGTGATAAAAGCTGATTTTAGGACAAGAAAATAAGTTAATTCAGGTGATTTCATGATGATTTGCTTCTCACTACTTCTCTTTGAAAATTATTCCATCCATGCACTTTCCTCCCACCTCTGCTTGCCCTTCCTCACAAGACCCTTTTGAATTCCCTTGGGACAATACCATGGCCACTTTGCTTAAGATCACAGGAAATCTTCACCCCACAGTATTTCTCTGCAGGTTTCTGTGCTCATCTGCAAGTCAAGGGATGCATTTCCCAACGCTGGGCTCTGCAGCTGAAGGTTGGGATTGTCCCATGAGGACAGGAGAGAGGGCATCCCTCGAGGGTCTCTCACTCATGGATGGCTCTCTCTGCACCAGCACAAGGTGCTGTCTCACCCTAAGTGCATAAAAGGCATTGAAGGAGCCACAAAAGCTGGCAGAGGAATGGCTGGGTGTGTGACTGACTCCTCACCCCTTTGGCTGGTGTCTGGGGCAGATGTCACACAGCTGGGACAGGGAAGAAAATCCCCAAGACTCTGTGAGGGATCTGCACAAGGGAGGCACAGGTGAGGGAGGAAATCCAGCACAGGCAGAGCCCAGGTGGGATCACAGAGCTTGGAGCAATGCACAGGCAGGAGAACAGGGACCTGGGCAGCCAGGCACCACTGCCATGGGCTGCCCAGAGGGAAAACACGCTGTAATCTCTGGCAGAGGGAAAAATAAAGCAAAATTTCTGCTTAGAAATGTCACTGGTAAAATGCAAGTGTCCACTTGGGGGTGGCAAAGCATTTCAGCTGTGTCTTGAGGGAGCAGGAATGGCCTTTTCTCTGCAGGGCTTGTGTGTGGCTCTTCCCCTCTCCAAGGCTTGTTTCTCAAAACTGCAGGTTGTATAAAGAGTCTGAAAATATTCCCCTTATGCTTGAGGAAAAGGGGATTCTTCTTCAGCTGCCATGAGTCTCCCACCTTGGAGTCCCACAGTGAGAATCAAACAGGAAACTTTGGGGCAAACAAGGAAAGAGACAAAGTGGTAATCAGGAGCACAATCCCTTCCTCCTTGGTAGGAAATGTCATCTGGATCCCCTGTGACCAGACTGGAAAATGTCTTTATGCATGCAGTGTATCATCCTTCAGGAGCTGATGCTGTTATTTGCTGTGATAACTCTGTGTTCCCTGGCTGTGGAAGTGACTGCCAGTCCCTGGTGACACTCCTGGGATGATTCTCTGTGGCAGTGCCAGTCTGAGCCCAGCCTGGGGACAAACCCAGCCCTGTGTCAGGAGGCACATGGGAGGCATTTCCCTGAAACACAATGAACAGGCTTTGAAATGTGTGAGACAGGGGTTTACAAAATCTCTATCACATAATGAACCCTCCCTTGGCAAAATTCTATATGTTCCTGTCCCTGCAGTCAGGAATTTGTCACTCGGATATGGGTGTACTGCCTTCAGGATCTGTTAGCACCACAGGGATGCAGGAAAGTTTTTCAGACCTTGCATTGTGCTTTGTGGCAAAAACTGAATTAGTACATGCAATATCACTGTAAAATTCCCCTTTTTTGCCCTTATATGTAAGGTTTGTCCCAATTCCCTCTGTGATGGGTTCTGTCCAGACTCTTTGCTGGTGATTGCTGATCCATGTGGATCTCTGATTTCTGCAATCCACCTGGTGTGGGAGAAGTGAAGTCTGCTGAAGCACAACCACAGGGCTTCACATAAATATCTGAAGTTGAAGTAATGATAAGAAGCTCAGAAAGCAGAAGTTTGCTTTACATTTATTTTACAGTTGTTGGCTCCCTGGTTCATAGCTGTTGCTGGTAGCTGGTGTTCAGCCCAGCTCTGAGCTGCTCTCATTCTTGCCTGTTTGCTAATATTGACAGTAGAGGTTTGCAACAGCCATACCTCAAAATGTTGTGGCAGAGGGAAGTGGGACTGGCTTGCCTAAAGCTAGAAGTGGGGAGAGAAGGCTTATGCAGAAAATTGTCCTGTTTCGAAGTAAGTAAAATCTGATGTTTTGGTTGCTGCACAAGAAGCCATTTGGTAAGATTGGCTAAACTGATTCTCTCTCCTGTGCTGGCAGTGTTGGGAGTGTCTCTCACCTTTCACAGCAGCGCTTTGCTGGCACAGCTTGCAGTGAGCAAACTCTCATTTCCAGCCCTCCCATTAGCCTGGGGGCAGCACAGTGCTTCCCTAACACAGCCTAAATAGAGCTTCCTCCTTCCTTCATTCAGTGGGACACCTCCTGAGCAATTCTTGCTGAAATCACTCTTTTAGGAAGTTTTCTTCTGCTTTAGTTTATCAATTTTCTTAACCTTTTCTCTCTCACCTGGATCACAGCACAGCAAGTCACAGGCCAGTGGAGAGCTGAGAGCTGCTGACAGATGTCCTGTGAGTGCCAGGGAGGCTTGAGTTTTCTGCAGAGTCCATGAGATTGTGATCCTCAAGCACAAACGTGCTCTTCTGGGATGAAATCTTGCAGGGGGGATGTTTGGGGGCACAGTGCTTGCAGCAAGGAGCAATCACACTGAGGAAAGCCATCCTGAAGCGCTGGGACAGCAGGTTGTAAATGATGGGGTTGGTGGCAGAGCTCAGGTAGAAGAAAACACCTGAGAGAACAAGGGTGGGGGGAAGAGAGAAACACTTATTTGTGCATGAAATGATCTCAGAAGAGGAAAATCTCTTTATTGCCTGTACAGCTCCACTAAGCTTGGATGCAAGGGTGGAGACAGCAGCAGTGGAGCTCTGCTGCCTCCCTGGCTCAGGCAAGGTATGTCTCACCAAGATTAGCTCAGCTTTCACTGCGGTGAAAGGAAAGTGGGAGAGATTGTGCATTGGAGCTCGGGCTCTCCAGCTGTTCAGGAACCAGCTCTCTCCTGAGCTGCCCTGACCTGCCTCCAGCACTGCCCTCATCCCCACAGCAGCATTTGCACAGCTGGTGCCCCATCAAAGCTGTCAGAGGATAACTTCCAGCCAGGGGAAGCTAATTTTCTACAGCTCACCAGGACAATGGCACAAGATTGGATTTGTCTGAGCTGCCTAATGGCCACATTCAGAGTTTTCCCATGGCAGACTGAAAATAAAATTCCTCTTTGAAAAGCCCTTCATTTTATGGTTGGCAGGGCCACAAACATTTGGTTTCTTCACCCAGTGCTGAGCAGTATGTAAGGCTCTTGCATTTGGTAAGATTTCCTATTTGCTCCTGTATACTTCTTAAAAGCGGCTGAATGACAGCAGCCTTTACTTCTGAACATTCCCAAGAGTTAAAAGCAGCTAGTAATGATGCATGATATCCTTTTTTTTTCTTTTTTTTTTTTTTTTTGTGAATTTGGCTACATGTCCAGATCTTGAAAGCTGCAGAAACCTGCCTGCAGTTTTTATTCAGGCACAGTTCTCATCACTGCCCACCAAACCTCAAGAAGGTTTTCCACACAAGTCTCACATCCCTACAAAATAAATGACCACACATTCCAAGTAAAACCACTCAAAAAATACCTTTCCCCCCCGCCCCCCAGTCCCTGTGCAAGTGGAAGAAGAAAGCTTTACCTGACACCACGTGGATTAAGTTGAAGGTATTGGCCAAGGGCTCAGTCCATTCCACCACAAAGCTGAAGAAAAGTCTGTCTATGTGGAATGGAGCCCAGCAGATGGCAAAAACTATCACAAGGACAACTGATGTGGAGAAAGGGGAGAAGGAAAACAGGTCAGAAATGGGGGGATATTGTTCACCGGCCTGCACAGGGCAGAGAGATCATAAAGCTGGATGGGAGACTTTCTATATAAATTATATTAATGGTTTCAAAATTTTGCCATCCTTTCTGTCTTACCATTACCAACTAAAAGAACAATCTTTCCACTAATTTCTGTATTGGATGATCCAATGCATGCACACAGGGTGGCTTTCAAACACAGCAGGTAACAGCCAGGCAATGTTGGGGTATATATGGAGGCCAAACCCATTCCAGGCTCAGAAAACCAGGCTGGCTCCAAAGTAGAGTTTGGTGTAATGCAAAACAGATGTACATTCTTAAAAATGTACAAGATAGAGTATTTGGGCTCTGAAAAAAGGGGATCCTCCCTGAAGGGCTGCAAGAACTGGTTTAGAGGGAAGAATGTTGGAGAATTGCCATGCAAGAATCTGCCATGAAGGTTTCCTCCCCTCCTCTTGTGCTGGGAAGGAAAATTTGCTTTCTGAGCAAATTTTTTCCTACTCTTTTGGTAGTTACCCCGGATGCTTCACTCCTGCAAGTTCAGATACAACAGAAAAAGTCTTTTTGTTTAATATGACAGCTACTCATCTCATAACTCTTGTATCCAATGGACTTGCTCAATACCCTGCAGGGTCTGGTCACGCTCTGCTCATGGTAAATAAAGCACAGAAGGACTCACTACTTACACAGCATCTTGGTGACTGATCTCCTGGATGGCCTCTGAACATTCACAGCCATTTCCTCCACTTCCAAAGATTCATCTCCTCTCAACTGGCAAAAGGAGGAAAACCAAAGGACAGCTTAGGCACGAGACCACATCCACACCAGACACAGACTGTTTGATATTTTGATAGTTGTGGTTTGAGAAAGCAAAATTTGGGGCCACTCGGGACTCACTGAAAAAAAAATCTGTATTTAAATTTCAGTTTTTGTCGAGAAAAACATGGAAGCTTTAGGTTCAAAACAATCTGCAGATTACAGCAAATTTGTATTTCAATTCCCCACTTACCTTTTCTCAATGAGTCAATATTTTGCTCACAGTTTATGTTCCATTTCAACAGTGGCAATAGGCATTATTTTCTCTTCCAGCAAAATATAGTTTGTTTATTTTCCTAAAAGTGTTCCCCACAATTAAGCACAAACCAATGATCCAAAAAATACCCAGAGAGGCCTGAGTACAACACATCTGTAATCATTGGAAAAAATCCTGTGGAATTCAAGGGAGTTTGTTTCATGTCCTGAGTGTTGGGAGTAGTTGATATTCAACCCATCTAATGAACAAACCCCAGAAACTCTGCCTTGCAGATGGGCAGGGTGCATGATACACACAGATTTAGCCACACACTGCTCCGGTACAACAAGGAGAGGTTTTTCTCCAGCAGTTTTTCCTGGACTTCAAAAAAAAGGGGCAATATATAAAAAAATACAAATAATAGGAATAATATATAAATAAATATAATAGAAATAATGAATACATATATAAATATATAAATAACTATAGCATAGATAATATATAAAGAACAATAATCTGATCATCCCTGAAATCCATCCCCAGTATGTTTATGATGAGAAGACTTGGTGCTTTGGTGATGAAAAGGTCAAGTTTACATAAACAGGGCAATTGGTTTGAATAACAAAGAAATCATATCTGGCAATATCAAATCAGATTTGGTCCCAGCTTCCTGCAGTGGGAACTCCTGATTAGCCAACAGCTTTGTCTGTTTCTAAGTAGAGAAACTGGAACCAAAACTTAATTATACATGAGACAATATCAGGAATGAGGGAAAAGATAGAAATCTTTTTTTTACAAATCTCTGGATTTGTGAAAGCCTTGTGAAGACATGCTAGCTGTGCTGTTTGCTTTTGCCTTTATACTGTGGCTTTGCTTTCTGATTAATAATACTTTTCTGTAAGGATGATGAAATGAGCCCTTCTGTCAATGTTCTCTTTATTCCATTTATAAAAGGAAAAAGCATATACATGGAATTATAGTCAAGTGCAGTGCAATTCAGCCTCTCATATTTTACATTATTCCCCTTGTAACTTTCAGTCATAGCCACAGTTGCTTAAGGAAAAGACTCATCTGATTTGTAACACATCCAATGATGAATGATCAGATTTATTAAAACCCATGGATTCCCTTCAGTGGTTTCAGTCTCAACAGTAATCTATTCCAGGCATATTCCAAAGCCTCAGAGAGTACAGTGTGCTGATGCTGTAATAAACCAGAGACACATGTATCTTTATTTTTCCCCTTCCTCCTGTCATTTTGATGGTGCTGTAAGGCTCCTCTTCACCTCAAGTGATGAAGGTGTAACAGGTAAGAACAACTCAGCAGCTGCAGTTTAATGAAACAATGAAACATTACAAACAGGGAGGGGAAAAATAACTAAATGAGTCCACGGCAAAGGTTGTAACTTGAGTTAATGGCAATGGTTTGAGAGGGGTAGAACCCCAGCCAAGGTACTTTTACATCACTGTGATGTATGAGGCTGTGTAGGTTTGAGATGAATGCTACTCTTCCACTGCAAGTGACTGGAGCAATAAGCTGAAAATTGGATTTCTCCCCCCCACCAGATCTTTATTAGCTACACCCCAGAAATTGAAAGGCTGAGTGAAATTAAGGTCTCACCTATCCCCAGACAAATATAGTAAGGCCACTCTGCAAAATGACTGTTTTCTGTAATCTGCAAAAGAGGAACAGTTTTCTGTAAACTCCTTGGCCTGTCTGACACTAGTGGTGATCAAAGTTTCTCTCCAGCTGATGGAAAAATTGATATTTAAACTCCACAAGGCTTCTGCTAAAATTTTTTTCAGAGGTTTGGCTGAAGCAGTTGCTGCTGAGCTGCAACCTTGGTGTGCCCTCAGCTCACCCCATGGCAAAGGAGAGCCAGACACTGGGACAAGGACTGCTGAACCATCTCCATGGAAAGGGACAGCTCTGGAAGAGCTGTCCTGAGCTCTGCAGAAATTAGCCAAAGTCCACAGACGATTCTGGGTGTTTAAGAGCTGGGCATTTAGGGGGAGAAATAGATTTTGAGGATAAAAGCTGGACCAGATGTGCATTGGCAAGAATAAGTTGTCTTGCTTCGAAGACAGCTAAAGTTTTCACTATATCCTTATTATTATTATTATTATTATTATTATTATTATTATTATTATTATTATTATTATTATTAATAATTTATTAATTAATTAATTTATTTATTTATTGGGATGAGAGGCTAAGAGAAAAGTTGGAATCTTGGGAGAAGAATCATCCAGCTTAAGCTGTCAGAAACCCTTGTTAAATACAGTATGACTTTTAGACAAGCAGTGATCAGCACCTACACTTGTGTCCTTTTAGGAATCAGTTTGAAAGAAATGTGCAGGGACCTTGCACTGAATCCTGCTGCAATGCAGACTTTTCCCCAAGCACTCCCATCCCATCTCACTCAGTGTCCCAGGGATGAACTTCCATATTGCTCAATGTTCTCATCTCATCCCTCTCCTCTCCCTCCTCAGCTCTCTGGCTGTGGGTTGCAACCAGCAGCTCAACAGCTGGACTGGGTTTGAAGAGCCTGGATGATTTAGGGATTTATCCTAAAGGTGTCTGTGATAGGAACTCAATGACAGGGGCAGCAGGAAGCTTCCCCAGTCAGGCCTAATGAGTTTACAGTGCAATGAGCAGTGTCCTCTTTTTTATTCTGATGCTTGACTGATCAATTGACCGTAACATTGCAATATTAAACCATCAAGCCTTAAAATTATACCCTAATAGATAATGAGGTAATCAACCATTTCCCAGTGAAAAAGGCAAATGTATTTTTACATTTTTGAGGGGATTAAGTGATAAATTAGCTCAGGTACCCTATGACCCATGTTTGCTGCCTTCTCACAGCTGCTTGGCAGGTGCCCTGTCCCCATCTCCATTGCATCCTGAGACTGTCCAGCACTGGCAGAACTTGAGGGAGAAAATGGTGAAGAAATGCCCTTTCTACAAAGCCTGAATATGAAAAGGTCACGTCTCTGTTTGCTGAATTTGAGCTGTTGTACAACCTTTGGATTAACCCTGAGCTTTTCCACTGCATTCTGTGAGTGATACATGGCACTCAGAGACTGCAGGGTGCTGCTGAAGCCTCATGAATTTCCTCGTCTGTGAGTAGATAAAAAGTATCTCCTCTTGGAAAATTACATATATTCATCATTATTCTATCACTTCTGCTGAAGAAATGAAATCATCTTGCCCAGTGCAGCTTGGAGATAATGCAGATCTAGCCAGGATGGATCCTGTTAAAATTTGGAAGTCAGAGCTGGATATACAGAAAAACAGAGGCACAAACAGTGAACATGACTGTCTTTAGGAAAGACAGCTTGAACAAAAGTGTGAATTTCCAGAAGTCCTGGGGGATGAGCCCTCATCTGGTACTGAGCTTCTCTTCTGGGATGGGGTATAGGAATATCTGCTACTGCAAATAGAAGTTATTGCAACCTTCAAGTCTTCCTTCTATAAATTCAGGGATCTCTCTTTTTCTCTTTGTAACAACTCTATTTTCATCACTTTTTATTCCCTTCAGGTCTAATTTTGCAAAATATTAATTGATGCAATGTAAAGGATCCTTCAAGAGCCTCCAGAGATCTGGGATAGTTTAACCCATTCACTGCCTCGAGGATCTGCTCGTTGCTGTGGATTTCTGGCAGATAATCTGTGTTTTTTCACTGGGTAAGTAAAAATTGCTTCTGTATAATTTCAGGTGACAGTAAATATCAGCCAGCACAACAAAATTATATATACACCAGCAGAGATTTGGTTGAGTTTACTGCGTGTTATTTAATAAGTTCATTTGCTTCCTTTTCTTGATATGGGATCAGATCTTTGTAAACTCTAAGTTACATTCAGTGTGATAAAATGGGATTTATATTGTATAAATGTCTGTAACTTATGAGAAGAAAGTGGTCATCAAGTCACTGTGACTAGCAGTGCATCTCAGTCTTGTGCTTAAAAGGTAGTTTTATAACACTGTGATCCTGATTGTTTTGTCCACACATTTACATGATGGATACTTGTCAAAAGTAGTCCAAATTTTTCAAGAGAGAATGAATATAAGCTCTAAGGTAGCCTGGTGAAACAAGGCTGTAGTTATATGAAGAAATGATTGCTGAATTTTCTAGCTGCAGCAATAAGGTAAGATTTCAGATTATGAGCTTTGTGAATTTTAACAAGTGAATATTACCACCAGCTCCAGGGAAAGAAAAGAAGAAAGTAATGCAATGGAAATTCTACAGTCACAAGGAAAGGGAAAATAAACAGTACACAAGATTCAATCACTAGCCATCTTCTTTTTATTCTTTTCACATTTTCCTTTTGGTCCATTTCTTTCTAGTCCCTACTGCAAAGGTGTAAATGTCTGAGAGGCTGGAATCAATCTATAGACTGGGGTGTTTCATTAACATTCAGATGTGAGCACCAGTGATGGTAAGTTTTCATAAGAAGATTGGGGTAAATTAGCTATCTTAATAGCTAATAGCTATCTTAATTTCAGAACAGGCTTGCACCAGAGAAGAAGTTGGATCTACTATTTCCAGAGGTTTGAGAAACACTTTAGCTGTTTTGGGGGGGAAAACACGGGCAACAAAAAAAAGGTGCAAAAATCTCACTCAGAAGCCACATATAGCCACAAACACACAAGAATGAGCCAAGCCAACACTGAGCACAGCTCGGAGCAGGACTTACTCTTAGCCCCATCAGATAGTACAGCACACTTATCACCCCCATGGGCAGCACGTAGAAGAGCAGCGAGGTGACCTGCACGATGCAGTTGTAGATCCACAGGGGCACCACCACGGTGCAGGTGGCGGAGCCAGGCACCAGGGTGCCATTGGGGAAGCGCTGCAGGGCGATGCCGTGGGTGCCTGTGTTGGGCAGGGCGCAGAGCACCGAGAGCAGCCACAGGCCCAGGATGGTGGCGCGGGCGCGGCGGCGCGTGGCGGCCAGCTTGGCGCGCAGCGGGTGCAGCACGGCCACGTAGCGCTCCACGCTCAGCGCCGTCACGCTCAGGATGGAGGCCAGGCACACGGTCTCCAGCAGGGCCGTCTTCAGGTAGCAGCCCACGGGCCCCAGCAGGAAGGGGTAGTTGCTCCACATCTCGTACACTTCCAAGGGCATCCCGAAAAGCAGCACCAGCAGGTCCGAGACCGCCAGGCTGAACAGGTAGTAGTTGGTCGGCGTCTTCATGTTGCGGTGCTTGAGGATGACGAGGCAAACCAAGAAGTTGCCCACCACCCCCACGATGAAGATCACCGAGTACACCAAAGCCATGGGCAGGAACAGGTGGCTCCGTCTGGGCCCGCACAGGAAGGTTAAATAATCCTCAGTGCTGTTTAAGTACCCCCTGAGGCGTTCTTCATGTAGAACAAGGTGGTTTAACCAGGAGAAATTACTGACCCAGGCCATCGCTGGATGTGCTGAAATGCCTCACAGCTGAGGTTTGCTGTCCTTTCTGTTTCTCTGTGCAAGTTTGCTCACTTTTTGCAGAGACAGGAGGAGGGGGGTAGCTGCCTTGCCACCCCTGGCAGCACAGAGCCACGGAGGATGTGAACGAGTGTTTGCCTGGCTCTGGGTAAGGTTTTGCTGCTCAACAGCTGTTCCCCTGCCAGAGCCCCTCAGCCAGAAAGCCCCTCCTTTGCCACATATTCATTGGCTCGCTAAGTGCGTTAGATTATAGTGTACGGAAAGAGGTTCCAGCCACTTGCATCAGCTCCCGGGGCTGATGCACGCACAGAGTCACAAAAGTGGGAATTAGGGAGCTGCGAGTCTGAAATGCGGGATACAAAACCAGATGCAGGTTATTTGTTTATGGCAGAGGGTGGGGAAGCAGACCAGAAACACCCCCAAAACTCAGTCCAAAAAGCTTTTACAAAATTATAATGGTGCTGCATCCTAGTTATGAGCCACAAGCAAAATACAGCAAAACAAAAGATTCTGGCATGATTTTGTTGTTCAAATCTCTGCTGATTTTTATTTTCTGTTGTCTGTGGCAGCAAGTACTTGGAGACAGAGTTTGATCAGTAGAAAGCCAAATGGTTTCTGTAGCCATTTCTGTGGAATTATAAGGCTTCAGCCTTTTGTTAACCACTACAATTGTTTTTCTCCTGACATCTGACTAAAGATTTTAATTGCAATTCTTATTGACACAAAAATATTTTCTCACTTCCCAAGTATGCTGGAATTTGATCCTATATTCTTAGAGAGCCTTGTTTTGGGAATATTTCTGTACAGCATGTTATTCCGTATTTATTTCCTATGGGGCATAAACTTCTATAAAATCTTATTTCTTCATGAATGACAAGCATCCTGCAAACACACTTTCTGAGCCAAAAAATAAGTGTCTCCTGCAAGCACCACAGCTTTACCAAAATAGATCATTTAGCTCTGTATGAATGCTTGATTCCTTCCTGAATTTCTGTAAAAGAGAAAAGTTCCCAAGTCTGTAGATACAATTTTCTAAAATTCAGAAACCGTTCAGCTGTTTGGAATTGAAGAGGTGCAAGGTCTGAGGGCTAATTTATGGGATTTTTGCCAGCTTGGTTGTGTGATTTCTCTGCCCAGAGCCTCTCGTTAGCTCTCACTTCTGAGTACCTGCCCAGTCCCCTCCTTGAAGCCATGTAAACCTTTCACATCCCTGACATCCTCTGGCAAGGAGCTCCTCGAATCTGCTATTTGTATGTGTATCTCTTTTCTCTGTTTGACCCTTTAGCTTGACCTCTCAAGGAAAAAAAATGATTGTTCCAATAAGCGCAGACTGCCTCCAAAATAGCAGCAGTGCGTGAGGGACCAAGGGTTGGTGCCTTTGAGGCACATTCGAAATGTGGAGCCTGGGAATCACTGAGCAATCATTTAAAATGTGAAAGACATGGAAGGTACCACAACAATCATACTAAAAGGCAGAAGCAAGTCTCTTGTGATGACTTTCAGACCTGCTGAAATTATCCCACACATAAACTGCATCAGAAGGACCCAACCCATTTATTTCCAGCATTGCACAGAGGTATTTCATTCAGCAGATCGAAAAGTTTTACTGGATTATTGAATAGCAAATGTGCCCTTTTGACCCATTGCTCCTTTCATTAAGGATTCATTTTATGGCTATTCCCTGCATTTTAACAATGTTAAATTTGATCTTGATCTGCTGCTGATGTAAGAGCAGAGGAATCATTAGTTGGGTTCCTGGCTGACACCAGGATTAACTCTTTCAGAGCACAGCAGAAGACAAGTATTTGAAAATTTGTGCAGGACTAAACATTTTCTGTACCTCTGCTTCACTTACAATTTTTTTTGGTTTTGTTTTATTTATGCCTTTTGTTTTGTTTTGTTTTGTTTTGTTTTGTTTTTCCCACATAATTTCTTAATACTTAGTTTCTTTCCATTTCTCCTTTTTCTTCCCCTGGTAAATTCCATCATTCCACTCCACACTGCAGCATACCTGAGGTGAGTAAATCCTTCTGAAGTAGCTACCAAATTGGCTTCATTTTTCTTCTTGCACATTAACCTCTGTAAAGAAACTGAAGTGAAAGATTGAGTCTGTTCAGCTTGAACCCAGTCTTACAGAAAAGGAAACCAGAGAGGTTTGAGTCATTTACTAAAAAGCCAGAAGGGCAGCAGCACCCACTGTGATCTCTGTGAGAGGAAAGCAATGGGCTGTGCAAACTCATCAGGTCAGCTCAAAGTGTGGATGTGCCAGACCCACCTGAGCCTGCTTCCACTTGTTTTCAATCCTTTCTGATCCTGCTGAGCTCGGATGCTGAAAGCCTGTAAGAATAGAAGCAGAAGAAAACCAGATAACCAATGGACCAATGTTGCTATGACCACGACTGTGTTGCAGATGGAGAGGACAAAGAGAGTGGAAAATATATTTCAGTTTATTTCTCAAAGCTTTATTTGTGTTCTATATCACATCTGTCTCAATAAAGATAGAAGAATGTATCCAACCAAAGACTTGCTCTGGCTCTATATGAATGGAAATATTTTATTTTTACAACTGAGACAGAAAATAAAAACAGATTTTTCCTTATGAAAGTGATATTAAAGCATTTGGTATTTTTCTTTATAAAGCAAACCTCATTGGTACTTGCTTTTATACACTGGAAGGAAGAGGGTGTGCTGCATGCTGGCCTTGGGATTGTGCAGCTTTATACAATAGCAATGTAATGAATGTAATGTAATATTTCCATTAATGTAGTGTAATATTGTCAACATTAACCCAGACAAGATTTTTTGGCAGTATGCAGGAGTCACAGGAGGCACTGGCCATGTCCTCAAAATGTTTCCCTTTGCCAATGGAATGTGCTGCAGCACATCCCTGGGTTCCACTGTGAACAGCAAAGTGCGCACTTAAGGAGGGCTGAATTCAAGCACTCCATGTTTGTCAAAGCCCCTGTAAGGGCACCATTAACTACTTCATATGAGTACCTGGTGAGTAATTGCGAAATGGGAAAATTTGGCACATTAATCAAAAGAGGCAGAGGACAGTGGAAGTTATCCAAAGTATAGAAAATGGATAAATGCTCCACTGGCTCCACTGACAGGGGTGTACATTGAGCTATGAGCCATTTTGATGGACTCTTCTGAACATAGGTTTATCTCAGAATGGAGACTTGCTTTCATGCAAAACAAGTTGGTTTTGGATATTTTTACCTATGTAGTGAGACAAGGAGATTTCAGCATCATATCCTCTGGTTGTGGATCTGGAAGTAACAGAACTGTGAGAACTCCCTGGTGTGCCACACAGATCAGTTCAGTGCAATCCTGCACTGACATGTCCACTTGGCACCCAGGACTGGAGCTGGCATCTCTCGGAAGAGCTGCAGGGCATTTTGCTCAGAGTTTCCAGGGAAATGCTGCACTTCTTACCATGCACACACCCTTAGGATGTCATCCTGCTTCACTGGAAGGGCTTGGGGAGGCTCTGGGTTTGCCAGAATTCTTGGTGAGAAGGTCCAATATTTTTATCTTCAGCAGGTGAAGCTTGGAAACTTGGCTTTTTTCTCATTTCTAATTTCCTTTTGCAGATTCAGCTGTTGTTTCAGGGGTTTCTCCCCTGCAGTTTGAGGATACTGAAGGCAGGAAAAAAGCCTTTAGGGGTTCTGTGTCAGGGAGCTGCTCTCCAGCCTGTCTGAGCCTGAGTTCCCTGCTCCTTTCATGGAGCTTTCCTGAGCTGCCCTTGGGCCACACAAAGTTCTGAGTTGCACATTCAAACTCCCTGTTTTAATCCTTGGAGGACTTGGCAGAACTTGGTTTCTGTCCCAGAAGAATGCAAAGAAGAGGATGCAAATAAGAAGGTGCAGAGCTAGAAAACAGAAATGTTAAGTTATACTACATTGAAGATATTAACACAATTTCCTAGAAAAATACAGTCCCCATTCCCCTTATAAATTCCTGAGCTATAATTATAGCTCATGGATTTGACTTTTTTCTCTGAAAGGCCTGTTTGAAATGTTCCCTACAGTAGCTGGAATGTAAATCCTTGTTTTCCCAAGTACCTTCACTATAAAATTCAACATGCCACGAACTACATTGGTACATTCTGTGCATTTTCTCTTCCTCAAGGCTGGAGGATGCATCACAACAAAAGCTGGATCTGCAGTAGCCTTTCCACGCCTCATTGTAAGTCATTTTGCAATTACTTTGGCTCTTCACAGAGAGCTTTTCCATGGCTGTGCATGACATCTGAAGTCCCCAGGATATCAATCAACACACATAAGAAGTGGATTTCATGACTACAGTATAAAATACCAATAAGAGCCCCTCTTTGCCTGGAGCAGCTGGCATCCTACACAGGCAGTGCAGACACAGGCCATTTCAGGGGTGGAACACATTTTGACTAACTTTAGTCATTAAAACCAGCAAATGAGTCTTCACAGATTTTTCAGGCTCCTGCTTTAGTCAATAATGGAAAGAGGAACTTCCAGCAGGGCTTTCTCCTAAGCCACAGCACAAGGTGAGACACATGACATGGAGTAGTTTAATTTTTCTCACTGTCTGCGGAGGGGAAGTAGGCAATAACTTTAACAGCAGGCTTATTAAACAGAGATGAATTTATACCTCAGTTTTGTACAATCTTTTCCATCCCCTTCCCATCAGGCTTTAGAGGGAGATTTCATTTTTGAGAAGATGTTTAGGACAGCTGAAAACAGGGCCAGAGAGGCAGCCAGCAGGTCTAGGGCAAGGACAGAGAGTGCTAAAATCACTCCCTACTCCTCTCTTACCCAGTGGGGTGGTCCCTATTGACACATTTTCAACAATGGATTGCTCTGTTAGTGTTGACTCCAGAAATTACTGAGAATGATGTATTTTGTTTTTAGAAAGCCTTTTGTGTGTTGCGTCTGTGTGTGTGTTCATGCTTTGAAGAGACAGTGGGTGACAGCCAGGGATGTGGTTCAGACTTGATGTTCAGGAAAACAGCAAAAAGAGCTGAAAAAGAACCCTGATACAGAAAATCTTGTGATACTGAATGTGTCCATCATGTCTTGGTTTATGTGGAGGAAGAGGAAAGGATTGTCATGAGAGAAAATGTCACAAGCAGGGTACAGGATGAGTCAGGTTGTTTGAGTCAGGAGGGGTCTGGTGCTGCAGGACTCAGATTTACGTGGGAAGGATCAGATGATTCAGCACCTCTCTGTGGCTCTCTGCACCCGTTCCAGTTTCCACACTCCCCTGCATCTCTTCCTCTCCTTGTGCTGGATGTTTCTCAGGAGACCTCGACTCACTTGGTTGTCTGACCCAAAACAGACTTAACTTCCCCGACACAGCAGAGATATTTTTTCAACTCACATCCATTTGGCTTCTGTCCCTCACTGGGGGTTCAGGCAGGGATTTTCCTCCAATGGAAAAAAAGCCATCCAGACCCTAGAGACTGCATTGTGCCTGGATGTGTGCTAGACAGGCACACTGAGGGGACAGAAGGAACCACAGGGACAATCTTAAAATATTCAAAGAAAGGAAGGGATGTATTGTGCCACTGGAGGTGGTAGACAGTCAGGAAATTGTGACAGGACAACTGAATCCATCAATGAAAATATAAATGGGGCACAGGGAATTTACAAGCATGTATCATATATAAATCTTAGAGAAATATTAAGAGAATTTCTTTTCTGAATGTTTCCTTCTTTAAGGGAGGTAGCCTGGCTATAAGAAAGACAAAGATAATTGGAAAGCTTTTGTTCCTATTGGAATACTATATACACTTTCCCACAGAAATGCAGCGATGTGTTAATTTATATTCTATGAAACATTAAACATTTTGTTCAGAGCTACTTACATACTAATATTAATAATATCACAATTTACTAAAGTGGAAATTAGAGAGCATTTTTCCTTTTGGAATTTCAGAAAAGGCTTGTTTGAATTACCTGTGCATGTTTAAACTTCTTGTCTTCCCTAAAAGAATAATTCCACTGACACTTCAGCAAAAACACTTGTCAAGTTTCCATTCCCCTCCTGCCTCAACTACTCTTCAGGTTGCTTTTTAAGTTGTATCACAGTGATCGCTTGTCTTTGTGTCACATTGAGAATCAATATTATTTGACTTGGAATTGAAGAACCCATTTTTATGAAGAAGGATGTGCATTAATGTAGAACATTAATATGCTGACAGATGATGATTTCTTGCTGCTCTTTTCCACATTAGACTATCCCCAGGAGTCATATCTTGGTTAACTTAAATGCAGCGAGGGATGGTAATGTTCTTTTGAATGTCTCCTGATACAAGGTTAGAGAGAGAAAGAAAACTCTAGACACAACAGTGATGCAAAAATATGAGCCAGAGGCATAATTTACCATAGTTTTCAAATAACCTAATGGACCTTACACATGGAAAGCAAACTGGATCAAATTATTAAAAAGCTTTCTTCAAATTGTGCTGGACACCACAAAAACATTTTTGTGCTTTACTACCCACTCAGTAGTGAGATGACCCCGGGCAAAACTGCAAAATAAGGTAAAATATTCCATCTCTGACTTCCAGAGCTGAGGAACAGAACCAGGAGCAGTCCCCATGCAGGGAGAGCAGCTCTCCTGTACAGGGCCGGGGGTTTGATGGCCTCAGTATCCCTCTGACCTGCGATTTGGGATTCAGTGGCTTTATTAGGACAGTGATTAGCCATTTCTCTGCCAGGATTTAGATCAATCTGCCAGTTGGAGTTTGGAGCTTTATTCCCCTCACTGAAACTGGAGGTCAGTGTGAGTCTCAGGAGCTTCCCACAAAACCCTGCAAGCAGACAAGGGGGTGAAGGCTGTTCCCTCTTCATTTCAGATGCAAAGCAATGCAGTTTGGGCATTTGTGATAGGACAAATGAGAGGACAAGGGGAAATGGCTTGAAACTGAAAGAGAGAAGGGTTAGATTAGATAGTAGGAAGAAATTCCTTACTGTGAGGGTGGTGAAGCAAGGCCAGGCTGGATGGGGCTTGGAGGAACCTGGGATGG